CCATTTTTGGTGCATTTAGTCACTTAATGTTATGCAATGTATAATTGATTTACCGTGGCTACCTGTATATGGTGTTATAATATAAGGGAGCGGTTGTGTAGCGGTTAGCGCGCTGCGCTATGAACCCGGAGACAAGGGTTAGATTCCCGATCATGGCCAACACCAGTGACGATTATTTGAACCGGTCCTGGGCCTCCCTTAGGTCGACTCAGCCTCAAATGAGTACCTGGTGTGGTGTGTAAATATCGCCACTCGGGAGACAAAGGTGGTCGGGCGTGGTGCTGGCCACCCACCCCCTCGTGTGCCGTGCCGGCCTTCATAGGTGCTCGCTAGCAGCACTTGCCCCAATATGGTGTGTTAAGGCTATACAGGTGATCTTTGTCTTTGAATGGTGTTATAAACCGTTTAGTATTGTAATATTTTCGTTATATTATTGTGTATTACATTATGTATCTAATGATACAGAGACTGTTATATTTTTACCATTACAGTGCCTAGCACCATTTATCTGAAACTGAATGCGCTTTCATCTGGCTAAAGAGAAAATTATAAAAAAAAAAAAATATGCATACTAGCTTATATACCCGGGCCAATTTTTTTTTTCGAAACTATTATTAAAAATCTAACAGCAATGCATAGTGACTGTGGTGGTACCTGCTATGATTACAGCAGTGCATAGCGACCGTGGTGGGACCTGCTATAATTACAGCAGTGCATACTGACTGTGGTGGTATCTGCTATGATTACAGCAGTGCATACCGACTGTGGTGGTAACTGCTATCACTACAGTAGTACATGCTGACTCTATAGCAGTATTTATCGACTCTATAGCACAAAGTACGCACCTGACATAGTGGCGTGGTGAGGCCTAGTCCCGTACAGAGCCTCCGGCCTCGCCTAGATTGTCCAGCCGGTCGAGGTGGCACCTTGGCAGGCTGGGACTGGGCTGCTACCCCCCCCCCCCCCAGCGACGATCTCCCCGGCCGCTCTGCAGTAATATCTACGGCCTATAGTGGTAGCATGTAGCGACTGTTTAGTAGTAATAACTGCACGCATCGGGGTGGGGGGGACATCACACAGTGAAGAATTTACCTGAGCGTTTAGTGTATTTCATAGGATATTTAACGTAAAAGAAAATGTCCACCTCACTCCCACTGAAGGCGTGCGACTTGGCATGGGCCGTCTCCCCCAACAAAGGCGCGTGAGTCTGTATGGTCGTGCACGTGTCATAAATAAATAAATGGGAAGTGCACAAAACTCGCACAAAATCGCTAATTAAACTAATTAAAAGTTGACGGATATGAAAAAGGAATAGCGCTTGCTCACGGCGTAAACCCCACCGTTGGAGAGCCAAGCGCGCGAACACACACAAACCCACACACAATTTTTTACTTTTATATATATAGACTAGCATAAGTACCCGGCGTTGCCCGGGTGAAAAATATATTTCTTAATAACCTTACATATATACACAGATGGGCTGCTACCCCTGCCCCCCCCCCACCCCCAGCCACGATCTCCTCGGCCGCTGTGCAGTAATATGTACGGCCTATAGTGTGGTGGGGTGTCGAGGCCTAGTACCGTGCAGAGCCTCCGGCCTCGCCTAGATTGCCCACCCGGCTGAGGCTGGGTACCGGGGCCGTTACCCCCCCCCCCCCCCCCCGCGCTACAATAATACTGTCTAATCGCTATAATTTTATTATCTACCGACCCTATAATAGTAATTGTACACATTGTGGTGGGGGGGGGGGGGAGTGAAGAGGACGTGAAACTTTGATGAATTTACCTCAGAGTCGCGTGGTGGGTGTCGAGGCCTAGTAGCGTGCAGAGCCTCCGGCCTCGCCTAAATTGCCCACCCGGCTGAGGCTGGGTACGGGTGCCGTTCCCCCCCCCCCCCCGCGCTACAATAATACTGTCTAATCGCTATAATTTTATTATCTACCGACCCTATAATAGTAATTGCACACATTGGGGTGGGAGGGGAGTGAAGAGGACGTGAAACTTTGATGAATTTACCTCAGAGTCGCGTGTTAATGCGTGCGCATATTTTTTACGGCAATTCAAAATGGCGTCCACCCCGCAGCAAATGCGTCGCTACCCGTTGCCAGGGGCAACCGCCGTGGAAAACCAAACGGACCAATCGCGTCTCGCAAATCCCTCACATTTCGTCCAATGAAACTGCGTATGGTCCGGCGACACACAGACAAACAGACACACACACAGACACACAGACAGACAGACCGACAGACAGACAGATTTGCGATTTTATATATATAGATAGTGTATTTCATGTGTGAAATTAATATTTTGGAATAGCCTACCATTAATTCAGAGAACAATACACGCATGTTCATGATTGCATTAACTTCATTAAAGTCACGTAATTGAGACTTTCCTCTTTTATCTAACCATAAAAGCGACTACATTTTACTTGTGCATTTAACTTGACTGTGACGTATATGAAATACAGCTTACAATATAATATATATGTTATTTTTTTATTATTATTTGTTCTATCTACGTGGCTTTACCGAAAGACCCAAAGAATATGAATTCCTGCAGTCACGAAAGCTTTGAGTCAAGATTTAATATAATACATTTAAGGGAATACGCACAAAGGTGCAGGCACAGGTTTCCTGACACACATTGTGAGTCTTCCTGCATCAGACCGGTAGACACTGTGCAAAACTATTTTAGCCATTGTCGAAAACTTAAAGTGAAAATATCGTGCCATTTGAGAAAGGCTACAGTCGTTCAGGTGCATGTTTCACGTGCTCGTCACCCATTGAGCTTGCCCGGTAACAGAACAATGAATAATGGAGCGAGGCTGGAGGTGGCTAAGGAGGGTGAAGCGATATGCTTGTGTTAAAGCAATTGGCCGACACTGATGGGCCCTACATTCAAATCTCAGGCTCCAGCCAAGATCAAACAAGGGTTCTCACGAGTAGTGCATTTCGTAGGCCTTAACCCTTTCAATAACTGCTAAATAAATGTCCGTGTATGTATGTATGTTGAACTTATTTGGCACTGTGCGTAGTCAACCGTGTTAATCGGAGGTACGAAAAAGCAAGCAAGCATACGTGAAGAGTAGCCAGTTATATTCCCAATGGCGTGATACAGTTTGTTTTATTCGACAATCTGGCGTTAAAATGTATGGATTACATCTTCTGAGAACACTGGCTCGGATCGCCAATTTAGTATTCGAGCCATTCGTACCGCACATATCTATTACGAAGGCTTCACGTTTCACTGGCAGATGAAGTCTGCCAGTAGGGGGCAATGTTGCTCCCTGGTTCTACCCATTTAAGTACGGTAGTTGACTTATAGAGTACATTTACTAATAGTGTACAGGAGAAGGTATGAGTATTCTTAACCATTCATTGGTATTGCATGAACCTCAGAATGTCAGTTTCAAGAGCAACACCTTTGCAGTTACCGAATTTGCCAACATGCTTATAGCTTAACAGGTAGGCTTCTGCGACCAGCATCATCCATAATATAGTTTTTTTATGGGTTAGATCGAGATCTATCCCAAAAAAACCTATAGTATGGAAGCTTATAGCTTGCCATCCGATTGTCCATAGCATAACTAATCTATACTGCATGAGCATTTAAAACGTTTAGTATTGTCTAAAAAATACTGTAATAATATTTAATACTCCTCAGATTAACTTTGCATTTGAATCTAGATTTAAAGTTTTCGTGACTGTAGGGATCCATACTCTTTGGTTCTTTCGAGAATAATATATAAAATAAAATAATATTTCATACCTACGTGACTTTACCGAAAGAACCAAAGAATTTGCATTTGAAATTGCACTGCATGCTTAATGAATGCAGCGTGGGGTTAAAGACAGGTTTTATTACTGTGCTCCAGTTGTCAATGTGCCGACAAACGCTCTTGTTATATCGAGTACTGTGACACACTATTGCATGATTCGTGTTTGGTTTGCATTGCTCAATTGGCTGGCTTAATACTATGACGGAAATGCCCTATTTATATGCTGGTCACAGCCATGCAAACTAATGCAGCTAACCACTTAGTTTTTTGTTTATAGGAATCGTTTGTCATTTAAATGATATACAGTATGTGCAAGCACCTGATTTATGATGGTGTAAAAGGCAATATATTTCCTCTACGTATTTTTCAACTGCAAGACTGTGTTTCCAAATAGCATTATTTCTGTGATCTATTTACAAAAAAATATATAATGGATATCCTCATATACAGCTGCGTAAAATTGCCGAATGGCACATAAAGGACATGGTAGACATTTCCCAAACATTATTCAAGGACCTGCTAGATTCCCAGTGTTAAACTAGTTTAGCATTTGCAAGGAAGAATACATTATTATTTTTTCTAAACTACAAAAAAAAATTCCCAAGGCTTCATTGGATAACATATATTTGGTCTCACATGGTTTTAAATAAAGTTGTGAAGCTTATGATTATGTAAAAAGTCATGTGTATAATAGTGGGGTCCAGTTGCCCGTAGAACAAATACTCATGACTTTTCATAAATCGGTACTTTCACAGAATTGACATCAGATAGGTGTTGCCCTGAATCAATCCTAAAGCATTATATGAATTCGTTAAATTCCGTTTGTTTGTTGTACTTTCTGCCATAGTGGCATTAGGCCAGATGATTATAATAACGGTGGTGACCAGTAGTGTAGTCACGGGTTAACATAGTTTATATACATATTTGTTATGAGGTAGCCATATCGGAACATTGAGCCAGTTAATTGAACTCCGTGTTTTGTATTTGATACTTGGCAATACCTAGATAAAAAAAAACCATGTATATGATGGGATAGCACCTTAAAGTCAACACAAATGGGTCAGAAACCAATTGATCCTGACTGCCATCTGACTACCCCACAGCCCAGTGAGTTTTCGAGTCTCACAGCAATTGATGATCATGATTACAATAATGCTCTCTGTGTGATCCCCCATCCGCTCCCTCTAAACCGCTGGATGACTCAGGTGTGCATCTCGCTGCCACGTGTGAACCACACAGGCTCGAGCCACACGTGCTTGGCTCGTGGGCACGATGAGCCAGCTCATCGAGCAGCTGCTGACGTGCGCCGTGTGCCTGGAGCGCTACCGCCGGCCCCTGCTGCTGCCGTGCCAGCACACATTCTGCGCAGAGCCATGCCTGCAGGGGTTGGTGGACACGACGGGACGCAGTGTGCGCTGCCCCGAGTGCCGTGCCACCCACACCCTGCCTCGAGCTGGTGTCCACGGCTTCCCCTCCAACCGCACCATCACGGGATTCCTGGATGTCCCACTGATGCAGCGGCCGCAACAGGATCAGCAGCAGCAGCAGCCTGTGACGGCAAGGTCGTCGTCGTTGGTGGAAAGGGGCGACCGTGAGGTCAATGTGAGGACGGCCGATGACCCCGCGTCCCGAGCGTGCAAGTGCTGCGGAGAGGTGAAGGGCAGTGTTGGCCTGTCGCTGTGCTACCACTGCGACTGGCACCTCTGCGGGTTGTGCCGACTGTCCCACTCGCACCAGATCAGGCAGGAGATGCACAAGGACGTCCTGCGGCTACGGGGAAGTGGCCAGGTGCTGAGCGACGCTGTCGGGACCCTGGAGGAGCGCTGCACGGACGTGCGGCGGGAGGGCGAGACGGCGAGGTCGGACGTCGCGGCGGCCGTGCAAACGTGCTTGGGGAGACTGCGAGACCGCGAGAAAGCCCTTCTCAACAGCGTGGAGGCGCTCGTCAGCTCCGAGGTGCATTCGCTGCAGCAGAAGAAGCGCAACTTGGAATCCAAGTTGGCCGCGATGCTGTCCTACTGCGACGTGGCCGAGGGCAAGCTGGACGGGACCAGCGGCGCTCCCCTGGCCGAGGAAGAGCTCTTCAAGCTGCACAAGCAGCTGCGGGAATTGTCGACCCTTGTACAACATCAGGGCTGCTCTGTCCCGACCCAGGCCATCACGTGTTCCTTGCAGAACGTCACGCAGTTGCTGTCCAACATCGACAGCTTTGGGCACGTGACCGTAGGGGGTCAAGCCGATGGGCATCACAGTGGCAGCGCAGGCTCCTTAATGTCCGACCTTGATGCGTTTTTGCCCACGCTGGTAGTGTCCAGTGGCTCCCAGAATTCACTGAATCCGGCGGTGAGGAGGCTGAATTCCCTGCCTCCGGTGAGGGCGACACGGAGGGGGCCACTAAACCAGAGGACTGACAGCCGTGGCGTTCATAACCACAACGGTGTCGACGTGGAAAGACAAGACAGCACACGGGTATGGAACATAACGCGCAGCTAAGTTTACACAGCCTTTATCTGCCTGGGTGGTGCTGTGTCAGAACAAATTTGCTCGTTCAAATACTTGTCAGGATTCACCTCCGCCCATCATCTTTTTATAGTCAAGAAAATGAACATCACTTTGTAAGAATGTAAACGTGGTTGTTATATTGAGAGATGGGCTCCTACTTCATAATGTGGAAATTCCAACACTTGGCTCAGCCCATCCTACTTTGGATATCCTGGTCAGCTATGGATAAACTAGCCCCCCTTAGTATAAGTTCACATTGTGCACCACTGACTTAGAGTTACCAAAATGAACACAACCCCCCATTGCTTTTTGAATGTTGCAAATGTCTACCAGGTAGTGAACGGCGATTAGAGCAAGCAGCCAGCACTAACATGCGGGGCAAATGGGCAGCAGGTGTCGTGTGTCCAGGAGGACGGCAGCTCTTTGTGGCCGAGCGGACGCCGTCTCCTCCAGCACTACCAGCAGAAGGGACGACCGCGTCTCCGGTTCGGCTGCAAGGGGACCGAGGAGGGCCGCTTCACATGGCCCCGAGGCCTGGCCGTTACGCCTGAGGGGCATCTCATTGTCGCCGACAGCAGCAACCACCGTCTGCAGGTGAATGCACGCTCCACACTCGGATTACAGCTGCCCTGCATCGTCCGAACTGCCAGAGGCACACGGTCTAGTGCAAAGAACGCACGCATGCACGAATGAGCGAATGTATTCCAACGAGTAGGAACCATGAATGGTAATAGTCAGCGATTATCAAAGCACATCATCTATACAGTTGCAATACTGATCCATTGGATGACTTGACATTTTGAGTTTAAGGGACATCATGGAATTTTTGGTAACCTTTAAAGTTGGTTAACTCCATGTGGTTTTATGTAAAAAAAACATACTTGAGGGTCTGTCTATAGTTGTCATCACTTCTTGGGATAATCTTGCAAAATAATACAGACATCTGATGAATATATAAAGTTTATACACATCTGATGAAAATGTGTAGTGGAGATACAATGGCCATTGTTAATTATGTATATTAAAACAAACTATGAGCATGAAGTATTTGTATATTTGTTTGCTGAGTTTTCAAAACAGTTGACTCCATAATACAGGGTGTTTAAAAAAAATATTGACCCGATTTGAAATCGCTATATCTCTGCAACCACGAACCACCCATGAATGAAACTCTTACCACTTGAAAGGGCGGGGCATAGAGTTTCAAATGATTACCGCTAGATGCCTCTCCCAGCGCACAAACAGCCCCCAGCCTCAGTCATTCGCAAGATGGTGACCCCACAACACAAGGCGTTTTGCGTTCTGCAGTTCAGCAAGATTGAATCTGTAATTGCGGTGCAGCGTGCGTTTCAATGGCGTTTTGGCATTGATCCGCCAATGTCAAAGAGCATTCGTCGTTGGTACCGACAATTTGAGGAAAACGTGAGAAGAGAGGCGTTTGGGACAAATTCAACTATCGTCTCGATGTTGTCTGCAGGTGGAGGGCACATAGGGCATTTTTTAAATTGGGTCCATCTTTTTAAAACACCCTGTATGTAGAATTCTGAAACCAATAAAGGTAAAATAAGACATGGACCTTAGTGTGATCTTGTAGGTGATATAATGGATACTGCCAACGATTTACATTTTTTTTTAAATATACATATTTAACATCCACCTAATTAGAACTAACATAATAAACAATAAATATAGCAAAACTCATCTAACATACCAAGTGGAAAAAGTGCATGTTTCTCATACAGTGCTGATGGCATTGAAGTGTATTTTTTTCAAAAAAGAATTCTACAAGAACCTTTAGGATGCAAGTGACCAAAGTGTAATGTTTGTCGTTCCACTAGTGAAATTACTTCAAATATGTGAAACTTTGAAAAAGCTACGGTAGCACTTTGAAGGGCCTCTAAGTGGACGATAATCGCATTGTAGGTGCCACCTGCTCTGTCCTTGAGAGCGGGCAGTGCAGTGGTGCACCGGTTAGCGTACTGCACTCGAACCCAGCTACACGAGTCCGATTCCCGCTCATGGGCAACACCATTGGTGTTTATGTGTGCCGGTCAAGGGCCTCCCCTAGGTCGACTCAGCATCAAATGAGTACGTGGTGTGGTGTGAAAACAACGCGACTAGGGGGTAAAGGTAACCAGGCGTGGTGCTGGCCACCCACTCCCTCGTGTGCTGTGCTTGGCTTCATAGGTGTTCGCTAACAGCACTTGTCCCAACAGTCTGTTAAGGATATATGGGGGATATTTGTCTTTTGCACATGAGAGTTCACGGATCTCAAGTGAAAACATTTAGTTTGGAATTATCTCTTCAATTGTCAGCCAGGCTGTAACACGAGTGAGGTAAATTGAATGGGCTCTTGAAATGAAATGAAATAGGCCATTTAATGTCGCTGCAAAGGTACAGTCGTGTACAAACTACAATAAGTAAAACATTTAAGACACAATAACACTTTGCTTCTCATCGGTTAATCTTTTTTTTTTGCATCAAGCCAAAGAGTGTAATAGTCAATCATCAAGATTATGCAGTTAACAATGTAAATAATATGGATTAAAGACACTAAAAGCCCAAAGAAATACTTGTCCGTCATATAACAAGTTTTTTTACATTTTCAGTAACCTCAAAGAGGCATCATAACACTGAATGAGCCAACAAGCATCCTTACTTCATTATTGCTCATATATTTTACCATCATCAGCAGCCATAGTCAATCCACTACTTGATGAAGGCCTCCCCAAGCCAACTTGCATCTCACAATCCTGTGATGCAATAATCCACCTCACACCTGCACACAATCTGATTTAATCACTCCATTTCCTTGGTACATGTCCTCTTGCCTGTACTTCATTCCTTGTGCTGCAACCCCATTATTATTCTTGACAATCGGGCATCATCATCCCTTCTCGCATGCATAGGTTTTCTCCGGGTGCTCCAGTTTCCTCCCACTTTATACACATATTTATGCAAACACTCATCATTAATTGGCTGAAAACATGTTAAAGTAAAGACCCAAAATAGCAGGACCCTCTTGAAAAAGAGTTTCACGACTCAGTGTGGCTCTCCTGTATGATTAATTAAATACATTTGATAGCAGTTTGTATGAACTGATTTAAAAAAACGTGACACTTAATTCGCATAGGTATGCTACTTTTCATTACCAATATCAGCTTTTCAAAACAAAACTTGCTCTCGTTCGCCTCTTTATTGCATCGTGTTGATTTCGGTCTGCCTTTAATAGGTGTCTTAGGTATACACGATGCTGTATTTTCCAGTTTTGTCTATCGGACAGATTTCTCCAATTGTATAGCAAACTTGTTGTGCATGAGCTTTCTTTTTGCTCGTAATTATTCCAAGACCAACTTTGCAGCCTTGCCTTATTAAGTTATTTTAACATTTTCTGCAGTCCATTTAAATTGGACGTAATAGTGACGGCGTCACCAGACAATCTGAGATTAGATTTGCTTAAAACTTAAGTGCCAGACAATGTAAGGTTCAACAAACATTAATGTTAGCGATATTGCACGTAACAAAAGATATATAAATATAAAGCCACTTATCTTGTGCAATTACTTATTGCTGTGAACAAGATACCAGCGACAAGTTAGTCATGAAAAATAAATTCTGTTGCTAAGCCAGTGTGAACAACAGGTGCTTACATTTCACTCAAGAATCATAGAAAATCTAAAGGTTGTCTGATGTTTGTGTAGAGCCACATTAACTATTGAGAGTGGCAGACCGAAGGTGTCCAAATTTTAATTACCGGCTCGTGAATAATACAGGTGTGAAGGTTATGGCTCAAGTTCACGTGCATGTGAGCACACTACAACTCCAAGGTCATATTGTTATGTTTCCATGGTCACACATAGCAGAAGCAAGTGTTCAGTGTTAACAAATCCTCCAACAAAAAAGAGGTTAAGGTAACACTTCAGCACTACTCAAATATCTCTCGAGAGGGCCCCACTCAGGAAATGTGTGCTGGTATAAATCATTGCAAAGAAGCCAGCGAGCGGTCTTTTTGCATTTCACAGCGCGTAAAGAATGGTGGTCAAATATGCCAATTAATACCATACATACTTGCTCAAATCATATTACTCTAATACCAAACATATAGGATGTGGAAAGCAGATTTAGCTAAACATTGTTGTTCCCTTTATATCGGTGTTCTGTCAATACTCTGATTTATTCACACAAATAAAGAATATCCAAACATCGTCATGCAGAACCCCTTTGAAAAAATTGTCCACTAATTAACGATTAGTGTTGTTATTATCATGAATGCTGATGGGTGCTCACTTTGTTCAGCCGAGGAGTCCCACCATATGGCTATCCAGCCGCCTATTGCATTCTACGGTCTGCTCCTTGTCTGGCTCCTGGCAGGTGTTCGACTGGAGTGGAAGGTTCATCCGGGCCATCGGCTCGCACGGCTCGGGTGATGGCCAATTTGACTGCCTCTCGGGCGTAACAGTCAACGCTCAACTGGGCCTCATCCTCGTAGCTGACCGCTACAACCACCGTGTGCAGATCTTCGACCGCACAGGCCGATTCCTGCGGGCATTCGGCAGGGAGGGTGCAGGACGTGGGCAGCTCAGCTACCCGTGGGGTGTGGCGAGTGACTCTTCGGGCCTCGTGTATGTCTGTGACAAGGACAATCATCGTGTGCAGGTCAGTGTCAGATCTTGAACTCGAAAAAATTTTCGTTTTGGAACCAGAGAAGTTTAGAATTGAAGAGATTGTGTGGATAATGCTTGGGAAATAAAAACGTTTGTTGTGGTAGATTGGCGGCTTAAAAGGCTAATGCTATCCCAGCTATACAAAAAAAAAATGTTCGTACACAATTGATACCTGTCATGTGGCACACCAATTAATATTAAAGAGAGGGTGTGAAAAAACACCATTTAGTTTTAGGTAACAGAGGTCCATTGAAGTGACTCCATTTAGAAAACGATACCTTTTATATTCTTGGTTCTTTCGGTAAAGTCACGTAGAAGGGAAGTAATAAAATAATACAAATAAAACATAATAAAATAAAATAATTCTCACGACGTTTCGGCTACAACGCAAGCAGCCGTCTTCAGGTGAAGAATGAGACACTACCAAACTAGGAGCTTATTAAGGCGCTCTTCCACCTTCAACGCAGCTTATATATAAGTTCCTAGTTTGGTAGTGTCTCATTCTTCACCTGAAGACGGCTGCTTGCGTTGTAGCCGAAACGTCGTGAGAATTATTTTATTTTATTATGTTTTATTTTTATTATTTTATTACTTCCCTTCTACGTGACTTTACCGAAAGAACCAAGAAGATGAATCCCTGCAGTCACGAAAGCTTTAAATCGAAATAGATACCTTTTATAGTTTGTGTCTGATATAATATAGTCTGCTAACTGAACATTTGAAAGGCAGATTCTTTATCTCATGACATTACTCCAAAAAATGCAAAATTACTCTATTAAAATTACCGTTGTGTGGCACGCGTGTCTGTTTATGACCCGAAGGCAATGCTTGATATTCCATATTAATATAGTACTTTTGATTTCCCATATTATTGACCATGCTTGGATGCTGATCGCCAAGTTGACCCTTTTTAATGGGATTGGAAATCGCAAACTTCTCACTGTCATTAGAGTGGTTTACCACAACTACCACCTGCCTAAACGTCCTACCACTGTTCTCCAAAGACTTTCTCCCAACATACGGTCCGCAGGTGTTCTCGCCGGACGGTGTGTTCGTGCGAGGCTTCGGTGGCCCAGGCAGTAGGCGAAGGCCGTCCTTGACCACCCGCACTACCTCGCCGTCACGCCCCAGGGCCGTGTGGCCGTGAGTGACTGTGGGAACCACCGCGTGCAGATATTTGACCGATACGGCCGCTACATCAGCAAGCTGGGCGATAGCTCGGGCTCGGGCTCTGGGCCCGGGCAGATGCGGTATCCACGCGGCGTGGCAGTGGATCGCTCTGGGAACATCGTGGTTGCGGACAGCGGCAATAATCGCGTGCAGGTGTTCCGGCCCGACGGGACTTTCCTACATGCGTTCGGGAGCTGGGGCAGCGAGGATGGGCAGATGAAGGGGCTGGAGGGCCTGGCACTGCACGCGGGAGACATTGTTGTCTGCGACCGCGAAAATCACAGGATTCAGATCTTTTAATAAAGCAGCCACCCTACGTTTCTAATATTTCAATAGCCTTGAGGCCAGTCCTGGATGTTACGGAGCATCAATTAGAATGACAGCCTGATAAAAAGGCATGGGTTCACATGGCCTGGTCAACAGACCAATACATAATCACCGATATGCTGCAAGCAATGTTAAGAGTTAATTTCTGATTTCAAAATATGACGTTGGAGACAATAGAACCAAAGAGTAATAATCATACTGTAATTTGGTTTCCAATAGGTGGGAGGAATGACTTGGCTTATTTAAGTCAAAATGTATTTGTATTTTCAGTTTAACACATAGGCTTTCGCGACCAGTATTATTCATAATAAAGGTTTTTGGGTTAGATCGTGTTATTATAAATATCGCAACCATCCACCACCCGACACGGCCAATCAGTATAAAATGTGTCACGTTAACAAAATACCAATTAGTTACTTCTTCAGCCCACTGGTGCATTTGAAGAGTGAATCCACAACATTTAGAATTTGAGTTGTACGACGTTTCGCTGGTAATTACATCCAGCATCTTCAGGCGATTTGCCACAATAGTGAAGCCATCTACCTGCTTCCGGTCTTAAATAGTGCAGGATGACGCCATCATTGATGAACCTCATCATCTTTCGAGATCTAGCCAAGACTAATTCGAGAATCCATCCAGTTCACTCACCGAGGATAAGAACCAGGCTATAGTCAACATTATAGACTGCCAGTATGCTCACCGAGGTTAGGGAGTATTTGTATATTTTCGTAACATTTTAAATTGTGGAATTGTCTTCTCTTAAAAGCCACTTTTGGAGTCATGTAATGATTGCTTTTGTGCATTGTATTTCCAGTAATGTATTAACTGTAATTAAACCTCAGTGAAATTATAATTTGTGTTTACTTAAAAACATACACACTGCAGCCTTAATATATTTGCTTACAGTTGCATATATTTTGTATGTGTCCTATAGTTTCTCAACAACGTCTTTCTACTACGTAAACAGCACTTATACAAAAATTAAGTTATTTGAAAATGTATTTTGTGTCACTTAAAATCGGTGTGGACTTGGCTGTGAGTATAAAACAAAGATTTGTTTTGAATCTGCAGTGCACTTTTATATACCAGTCGAGATAATAGAGCAACAATATGTAAAAAAATATTTAATACACAAATACCAGAAGCTTTGTTTATTTCCATGTTTTCCATGAATAATGTTGTAAACTCCTGCTGTCATAAATCAACATATTTTGTTGATGCAGTTGGGCCTTTTGAGATTTGGTGTATTTTGAATTTGTTGTACAAAATCACAGCCATCATTAAACCTGCAAGAAAATTCCAGTGCGTTTAACGTGTTTTGTATTTCCACTACACTTGCCAACGCAATCCACATCAATGTCACGAATGTTGTTGAAGTTTCACGGTTTTCTTCTAGTTATATTCATATTTCACAGACCTGCATAGAACTCTAAGAACTGGCTCACATCCCGTGGAAATTATTGGAAAAGTATCTGTTAGTGATGGCCTTCCATCAGTGTTTTACGATAAGCAACAAGGGATTGGGTCATTATTGGGTTCAGCCATTTGTAACCTAATCAAGCACTTTCAAAGATTAAGAGTGAAGGCTCAGTACTGGCAAATCGACCAAACTTCCTGTTTTGACCGGGTCAGCACACGTCTTAGAAATGCTGTTCCGGTATCTCAAAGCCATAGTTTTTTTTTCCAGTTTTTTCAGCTTAATGTATTAGGTATAGCCCTGTCAGCCATGCAGCTCTTGACTCGGGTGCAACCGCGACAAACAAACAAAATGAACAAATAACAAAATCCATGAAAAAACAGCAAAGTCTTCCAGAAAAAACACCGTATTTCAACGCTGTGTGCGAAAATCCCAGTGGGATACAAGTCAAACAATAACAACCATAAGACAATTTAGATTAAAGTTATCAGGCGAACTCTGTACTTCAACAAATGTGGCTAAACCAAACGTTTTTGAAACCACCAAAATAAAGCTATAAAAGCAATATAATAGTGATCATAGGAACTGTGATTCAAATTTAACAATAAACGATATACATAACATGTACGACCAAACTCTGCAGCCATAGCTGGCAGCATGAGTCCCTCCATAACAGCAGGAGTCTCCATCAGTAGCAGTATAAAACATTTCCAATGCACCTTTAATGATAGTTAAATATCGGCACACGCTGTCTTTGGGTTTCTTTTTAAATCCTTTATCTTAAGTTCGCTTGCTTGCTTGCGTGCTTGCGTGCTTGCGTGCTTGCTTGCTTGCTTACGACCGTGCAAACCTTTCAGTCGTTTTTTAACCCACTTCCCGTGATACAATCGAGCTGACATTTTGCACACAGACTCGTTGTGCAAGACAATTAATGTTCGTGAAAAAAAATCCTAAATTTTACACTGTTTAGGGAAAACAAATTAAATATTTAATTACCAATTGGTAAATACTGGCAGACAATCATCTGACCCATAGGTGGCAGCCATCTCAAGACAGAGGACGAGAGGACTCTAGCCGCCACGCATATAAAGGATTTAGAGTGAAAAACTTTGTTTTTACGGGTTATACTAGTTTAAATGCTTCGATTAGCTTAATGTTTGAACTCGTTGTCAAGTGCAATCAGGTGGAGCGGCCACCTGGACAATGGGCGGGGTTTGTTGAGGAGTGGGCGGGGCTATATTGAATTGGACAGGGAGGGGCTATAGCTTTACTCTGCGTTGTCCATAATCGAGAGGGTTAATTTTGGGGTTAGCTCTCTTAAATATAAGTCTCTTTAAACTTCGCCACATTCAGTTAGTAAGGTTAGTGTCACGTGGACAAACGTTACTAATTACAACACTTAATTTTGTTTACGTGACAAACCTTACTAATTGGCTGTGTCAGGTGGTGGCTGTTTTACCCAAAAACAAACCTTGTATGGATATTGGCCGCGAAAGGTGACGTGTTAACAAAACGGGATATTTTTTTCCAAGTATCAAAGTATGAAAAAATTAAGAATAGGTTTGACCCGTTCTGGCAATACAACAGGTGTTAAGATGTTTAAACAACAAATAGAAACCTTTTGTAAGCAATCTAAGTTATTGTATTAACCACACGTATTTGTGAACATGCAAATATGCTATTTGTTTCTTTCGGTAAAGTCACGTAGGTAAAAAATAAAACAAATGAAAACTAAATTAAATCACGACGTTTCGGGCGCAACGCTTGGCGAGTGTGTGGGCGGGCTGTGGACTGGGAGGCAACGATGTGAGGAACGGGGTGGGCGCAACGTACGGAGTTCAAACTGAAGCTTTGTGATGCAGGGGGCGGAAGTAGATAAGGAAGCTAAGATTAAGCAGCCTTTTGTTATGCTGCTGGGGGGTAAATTGCGCAAGCTAAAAACAATGTGTGGTAATGGTGATGGTAGTTGTTTTCATTTATTTAGATTTTTAACCTACGCGACTTTACCGAAAAAAACTAAAATATTTTTTTAAAATAATAAATGAAAATACATCAATTAAATCACTGTAGCTATTTATTTTGCTGTGCCCTTTTTTTTACACCTGATGAAGGAAGCTTGTGTTGCCTCCGAAACGTCGTGATCTAATTGATTTATTTTCATTTTTTTATTTTACCTACGTTACTTTACCGAAAAAACCAAAGAGTATGAATCCTTGCAGTCACGAAAGCTTCAAATCTAGAATGCAAACATGCTCTTATGGATAATCAACTTTTTTGGGTTTAGATCGCGTTATTTATAAATGTGTCGTAACCCTCCACCACCGGTGTCACGTTGACAAAAGACAAATAGTTCACTGCTTTAGCCCACCGGTGTGTTGAAGCCACAACATTTACAATTTGAGTACGACGTTTCGCTGGTAATTGCATCCAGCATCATCGGGCAATTCGCCAGAATGGTGCTCTTATGGCATTGAAACTGACATTGCCGTTTTGTGTTAAACGGAGCTCCCCGTGTGAGCCGAACATTTTGGTAGCCCTGACGCACCGGGAGAGGTTCACGGTCCACGTGTCAAGACTTAAGCGCGCTCGGGACTGGAGTTGGATAAACTACGGGAGTCGATGTTACACTTGTGGTTGGAACGTCATTGTTGAAGTCATTTAAAAATAAGTATAACCCGTAAAAACAAAGTTTTTCACTATAAATCCTTTATATGCGTGGCAGCGAACTTAATATAAAGGATTTAAAGAATATATATGCCCGTGGAGGACACGGGGATCGATCCCGCGACCTTTGGCATGGGAAGCGAGGGCGCTAACAACTGCGCTACTCCGCCACGGCCTGTGGAGGGGTTACGCTCTGGCCTCTTACACTGTGACGTTCAGCCAAAGCCATGAATGCGTTCTATTTGAATATATGTAAAATACATTTTTTTGCCTAAAAAGTGTAAAATTTTGGGAATTTTTTTTCACGAACAATAATTGTCACGCACAACGAGTCTGTGTGGAAAATGTCAGCTCGATTGGATCACGGGAAGTGGGTTAAAAAACGACCGAAAGATTTGCACGGTCCTAAGCAAGCAAGCAAGTGAACTTAATATAAAGGATTTAAAAAATACGCAATGCTTGAAAGTAAAAGCGTGGTTCAACAAATGCACGCGGCTCGCCGCGTTGGCAGCGTTGTACACGCACTCCTAAGAAAGGGGCATCGCCCGAAACGTCGCCTATTCTTGTTCTCAGGCAGCGTTGTTGGCGATGATGGGGGGTGAGTCAACGCGACACCCCTGAGTAAGATGGCGGCAGCGGGTGCATATACCGGATATGACGTCACGAACAGAGCCCGGTTTCCGGCCCCTCCCCTTATGCAAATCACGCAGCCGCCAATATTTAATTAACTCCTCATAAACAGTTTCTTGGGTCTTTCGTTAAAGCCACGTCGATAGGTTCACAAGAAAATAACAAACAACAATATTTCCAAACAGTGCGTACATTTTGTTAGTTAAAGGTCGCTGACGCGCAGGGGGTCATAGGTCAGAGGCGAGGCGCTTGCGCTGGAAGATGGCGGCCTCCTTGTGCTCGCTACTCGTGCGGCGTTCGCCCTCACGTCTCAGCAAGGCGCTCTCCTCCTCCTCCTCTTCCTCCTGCTCCTCTTGTCACGGCCTCCTGGTCAAGGCCGCCTTCTCGCTGGGCTCCTCCAGCGCCGCGAGCCTCTCCGAGGCGCCGGACGACGGCAGATGTGCCGGAGGTGAGGGGTTTGCGCGGTGGGGTTAGCCGGCGTTGCCGGGCACGTGTGCGGGGGGGAAACTCCGGGACATGGGACTTGTGGTGGGTGAGAGGAGTTGATAAGCGAGGAGGCATTTGGTCACAGAGATGTCTCAACGTTACGCGGGACCCTGTGCAGACACGGTGTTCAGAGACAGGACATGTGCACAGAGACGAGCATCGTGATACAGTACAGACCGTTCAGGTACTAAGGTGAGACGTACACAAGGCCACTGAGGTGCACATGCAGTCGTCATATATGCCACTTAGTGGCAGAGCAGAGGCGCATAGTTATACAGGCAACTGAACACGGTTCATAAGAGTTTTTTTTTGGGTTAGATCGCGTAAATATACATGTATCGTTAAACCGATCGCCACCTCGACACAGCCAATTAGTAAACAGAACACGGTCATTCATTACTAGTACAGCACACCGGTGTGTTGGAGAGTAAATTCACAATATTTACAATTCGAGTACGACGTTTCGCCAGTAATTGCAACTAGCATCATCAGGCGACAGCCAGACTTGTGGATAAATCCTCTTGTTATTAATTAGAGGGATAAATGTGATGTCATCGCCTGTGAGGCAATGAGATGCGAATGCCAGAGGTTGGGGTTAATGCATGCATTAAAATTAAAATGTATAAGAATTACCGGTTAGGTTATTCATAGGGTAATCAACATACATTATGCATGCACATTATGCTTGTACATCCTGCCTTTTGTACGTGCACGAAAATCGCAGTACCTGTTGTTTGTGAGGAACACAAACATATTTACGGGATCTAACCCAAACTAGTGCTGTACTAGTGACGACTTGGCATGGTCTGTTTACGTGACAACCCTTACTAATTGCCTGTGTCGGGTGGTGGTGGGTTTTAACGACACATTTATATATTTACGCGATCTCACCCAAAAAAAAGATTTTGCATAATATTGGTCGCGAAAGCCGACGTGTAAAACTTGTATATACGTATTAGAAGTAATCATCTCTCCAAGGTTGCAACTATATGCCAAAACGTACGCCAGTTTTTAAAATAAAAATTTCAGAACCCAAATTATTTCACCAAGCAGTGTTTTTAATTGCTTTACTGTACCAAACGTTCATATCCCATTGGGAAATCGTTCTAATGTCGTCAGTGTGTTTTAACATATACTTGTACATGTGTGCTTGCAGACAATATAAAATATGGGAAGCGATAGTGGTGAGCACGCTGCGCTATGAACCCAGCAACCCGAGTTTGATTCCAATATCAGTGACACATATCTGAATAGGTCCTGGGCCTCCCCTAGGTCGACTCGGCCTCAAATTAGTACCTGGTGCGGTGTGTCAGCATCGCCACGAGGGAGACATGCGGCTGGGCATGGTCCTGGCCACAGCAGCCCCTCATGTGCTGTTCTGGCCTTAATAGGTGCTCGCTAACACCACTTGCACTAAAAGTCTCTTAAGGCTATGAGGATAAGTATTATTGTCTTTGCAGAACATGTGCCTGTCAGAAGCTCCAATGGAGCGAGGAGTTCCTTCGTGGAAATACAGGAGAAGCGCATGCAGCAAGCGGATCGGAGTGTTCTCATCAGCTGCCCCAAGAGCATTGCCAAGAGCAACCTTCTGCAGTTCCTGTCCAACCATGGACACATTAATAATTACTTCTTCTACGAATCGTATGTGAGTAGCTTGTTTTTAATATATTGCATAGGGAATAACTCTTTGGTTCTTTCGGTAAAGTCACGTAGAAATAAAATAAATAATAGAATACGACGTTTCGATTGCAACACAAGCAACCGTCATCAGGTATGAATGAATGAGAAAACAAACTTAGTAAACTTAGAAATGCAATGCAATGTAACACAGAGAGTCGGCTAACACAACAGTTAACACTTTACCTGGTTGATTACGTTCTTCCAAAGATTGCTAAATTTGAAGTTAAGTGTGAGAGAGAGACAAACACAGACAGAGAGAGAGACACTGGGGATTGAGTTCTGTCCAAGGAACAGCCCACATACCTAGGCTTGGGACCCCACATTCGATAGATCATTGATCGCCTCAACTTTTTTACCAGTGACTGCTCGTAAAACAAACAAAACTTTGCTTCACATTCAACCTGTGCCAGATTTGATAGATAAAAACAGTTATTAGATTATTAAAGAGCAGTTGTATTCACATAATTATTGAACACCATCTGACATGGTGTTTAATTGTAATATTGTATGTTCCATGATGTCTACTTCAGGGCTTTCCCTATTTCTATTCACTTCTGCTGTATTTAAGAGTTATAGAATGAATGTTTTTTTAAATGTGTTAATTGGTGATAAATATGCTACTGTATGTGTAAGCAATTAAAAAAATCTACAGAAATGGAAAAAAACTCTTGTTATGTCTATCCTTATCATTGCTGATGCTGTGGGGACAGGGTATGTACATGCTGGTGGAGTTTGCAGACAAGAATGGAGCTCAGGCCCTTTGCGATGCTGGTTGCATCCCACACACGAAAGGGGAGTTCCCGATGCCCTTCCGCTCACGCGTTCTGGCCATTCGGCCCCGGATGTTTCCCAATGCTGCGTCTGCACAACCGACTTCAACGATGCCCGAGACCGACATCCACATCATCAACAGAGAGCCAGTGTCGAACAAAGACATTATTAGCAGGCTCAACAGCCTGGAAAGTGTGAGTTATCAAGGCTTAATTTATACAATGTCACACATTAAAATATATGCTTGGGTTAGGTTTGGTGTTTGCACACTTGCCCTCCCTATATAGTTGACAGAGGCAACAACCAGAATATGTTGACTGACAATACAGTTTGAGATGTAATATTGCAATTTTGTGTTTTGAAAACATTTGGCAATTATTTACATTTGCATACATTCCCTCGTTGAAGTTTTATATCAACAAATATTGTGTATCTAATGTGTATGCTTAAAATAAAAACCAAGCTGATTCAAATAATGAAACGTTCCAGTATTAAACAGAAAAATGCAACAATGATGAGGATTACCCATTGTGTAAGTTCCATTGGCAGCCCTTGAACACCACTTCCAGATGCTCTCTAAAGTCTTAGTTTCGAAAGTGCTGTGTTTGTGTGCATGCATGTACATTCTTGCATCTGAGGACACATGCGTGTTTGCCTCTTCATGTATGTGCCTGTGCGTGGGTGCATTTGTGTGCTTGCAGACGGAGCAACAGCTGCGCACTCTAGTGGATATGCAGCAACTGACAGATGCAGATGTGCGACTGCGCTTCATGGTTTGCTCGCTGCTGCAGGACATGTGCGCCACTATCTTCCCCGGCACGCTCGTGCGCCCCTTCGGCTCCAGCATCAACTCATTTGGGCACACCGGCTGTGACCTTGACATGCTGCTCGACCTGGACGGCGTGCTGTTCGGAAACAAGAGACATGTGGGTTCTGCTGCTTATGCTCCTGTTGGTACTTGTGTGTAACTTTTTTGGAGGCAATAGCCACTGGGCTAATTTGCACGAATTTCACAAATTCTCACAGACGTATAGTGATTTCCGTCGTAAATATGTTGAACTTCTTTTCGCACCATACTTTCACTCAGACATGTAAGAGCTCATGGTCATTTAAAGTATCTTTTGCAAGGAAGATCTGAGATGAAATACTAGAATTGTTTTTTGCAAGGTACAGAATTCAAAATTAACCCGTAAAAACAAAGTTTTTCACTATAAATCCTTTATATGCGTGTTCAATGGGCCACAACCTAGCCCACATTGGTCTTTGAAACGGGCGGCTAGAGTCCTCTCGTCCTCTGGCTTGAGATGGCTGCCACCTATGGGTCAGATGATTGTCTGCCACCATTAAGCAATTGGTAATTAAATATAAAAAAAAAAAATTCCTAAAAGGTGTAAAATTTTGTCACGCACAACGAGTCTGTGTGCAAAATGTCAGCTCGATTGGATCACGGGAAGTGGGTTAAAAAACGACCGAAAGATTTGCACGGTCGTAAGCAAGCAAGTGAACTTAATATAAAGGATTTAAAAAGAAACAAAAATGTTCCATAAAAATGCGTATCCAAAAAAATGTGCAACTTGTATGCACAGGTAGTACCCAGAACAAAGAAGTTGCAATAGAATAATGCTCCGTCTAATTGGAGAATGTCCGTGCTCAAGGAGGCAAAGGACTAAGGTGTGGTGTTTATGTTGTTCCTGATCAAGAAATGGGATTTCACATACCCGTTATCAGAGGTGGTTGTCTCCATAGGAAGACCACTGAATGATAGACTAAGTTGTGCCCCGACTGGTATTTGAACTTGCGTCTTTCTGATTATGAATCAAGAGTTCTAACCACAGTGCCACCTAGCCCATTAACCCACAAACCCTGCCCATTTTACACAATGTGCTGGCCCAGATGGTGACGAACAACTTTGAGCTGGATTACCAGGTGAAGATGCTGTCGTCAGAGCGTTCCGTGACACAGAGCGTGCTGTCGGTGATGGGGGAGTGTCTGGACTACTTCAGCCCAGGCTGTGTTGGCGTGCAGAAGATCCTGCAGGCACGCTGCCCACTTGTCCGCTTCTCACACCAGCCTTCAAGTTTGCAGTGCGACTTCACTGCCAACAACAGGTGGCCTCTTTACTCAGCCTCTGGCATAGGCAGTGATATTTCACATGTTTCTGCCCATGTGCATCGGTTATCATTACTTTACACTATCAATACATTAATTAAAATAAGTAGATTACAGGTATTCTCAATCCTCTGGTGGATTAAGGCCCCCACCATGCCATATAGGTTATATATTTTTTTACCATACATCACACTGCTTTATCTCAATCTGTTGATGAATGGAAGTAAAATAGATTTAAAACTGTTTTTGAAATGTTCATGTTTTTACAACTACACTATTGGATATTATCATACTAAAATGCGGATGTCACTGTGTGGTGCCGGCCCTAGAGAGGCACGGCGTGCGATGCACTTACAACGCGGACATCACGTATGTAGCGACATTGTGGGTGTCACTGGGTAATGTCGGCTCGAGCGAGGCATGGCGTGCGATGTATTACCATCGCGGACACTGTATATGTGGGTGTAGTACCAGCCCTAGAGGGGGCTCTGTGAGCGCTGGGTCATAGCGCTCAGTAGTACCACGCGTGGCGTGCAGTGCTGACTCCTGCAGGAGGGAGTGTGAGAGTGTCAGCGCTGGGATGAGGTTACCCCGGGCCATGGCACTGGTTGACCCTGGAAGGCACGATAAGTAAGATCTACACAGGGGCCCCAAGTAGGTGCTGGGGGTGGTCACGTGCCGGGGCGAGATCTTGCTAGAGTGTTCGAGAAGGTGGTCGTGGCCTAGGGTGGGGCCAGCCACGGCCAGCGAGCATATAAACCAGGTCCCCGAGAGGGACCTGGGTTCTGCGTTGCTGTTGTCATCTGAAGATCTACGTTCTACGTCCAAGAAGAAGTCACCAACACGTGGACCTGGACCCAAGTTGGGGTCCGGTCCGTTGTAGCTACTCCCAGTGTAGCTAGTGTAGTTAGCCTGGTGGTCCACCACCATAGGTTGTTATCTGGTAAAGGGATAGTTACCCTTTTGTGTTAAGTGTGTTGGTATAAATAAATGTGCCTCCAAAGAGTAAGTCTGCGACTCAGTTGAATACACTACAACTGGTGTCTAACTGATTTGAAGATGTCTTTGCCTTCACACATTTTACTAATTCCAAATCTACAACCAAATCATAAAAATACCATGACTCCATAACTACCAAGGGGTTATTATATATAGTGCTATTATAGGGCTCGCATATTGTTAAATATGGGTCTTAGCATTTATATTGTTCACGTGATAAGTCTGATTTCACAAATTTGTAGATTAATTTGCGATTTTAATTTTGTGCTGCCAAACCTAACCCTTGCATTGTGAGATGCCACTGCTCAGGCTACAGTATTTCCGTTATAATTTTTTAAATTAAATATCCGTGATATCAAACAGTCCCTTTTCCCCTTCAGCTAATCTTGTGTTTTCTCTCCTTCCCCCATCTCGGCACTGCAAGGATAGCACTGAAGAGCACAGAGATGCTGTACATATATGGGCAGGTGGACGAGCGCGTGCGGCAACTCGTGTTCGCTGTGCGGAGCTGGGCACGCTCACACGGCCTCACCAGCAGCATCTCGGGTGCCTGGATCACCAACTTCGCGCTCACCACCATGGTGCTATTCTTCCTGCAGAAACGAAGTCCACCCATTGTTCCTACGCTGGAGCAGCTGCGGAAACTTGCAGGTCCGAATCCTTCAACTCGTGGCCCCCAAGCCACGCACTTTCCCAAGGCGTCTCTTACAATCTGAGAAGCGCCTTTCTACTGTCTTTAACATTCAAGTTCAAGTTCATTTATTAGGTATAGCCCTGTGAGCCATTCAGCTCTTGAATCGGGTGCAACCGCAACAAACAAAAAACATGAACAAAAAACATCTTAAAGTGAATATGTGACTAAGTGCAAACAGAAAATTCAAGAAAAGACAGCAAAAATATTGCAGAAAAAACACCGTACACCAACGCTGTGTGCAAAAATCTCAGTGGGATGCAAGTCAAACAACAACAACCACAAGACAGCTTAGATTAAGGCCATCAGTCTAACTCTGTACTACAACAAACAAACATGGCTAAACCAATACACTTTTCGAAATCACCAAAATAAAGCCATGAAAGCAATGAAAAAGCAACCATAGGAACTGTGACGGAATTTTCACAATAAATGGCATAAACAACATCTACTACCAAAACCCTGCAGCCATAGCTGGCTGCATGAGTCACTCCACAACAGCAGGAGCATCAATCGGAGTATTGTAATTTTTCAATGCACCTTTAAGATCAGCACACTAAATCATTCCTCTAATGCATTGCTTTAGAGGCAAGGGTTTGTGGATTTCGATAAACTGTTAGGTTGAGAGGTGGCCAGATGGAAGTGCAGCAAATGGATTTGTGAACCCCGCTGTGTATGGCCACTGAGTTTTATCCCCTCATGCCTGTTCAGCCAACAAAATGACAAACGTGCCATGGTCATCATCGACTATGATGGACGAACAAGAGAGAGAGAGAGATCCCCTCATATGCATGGCTTATCTAGATTCTCTGGATTCTTACCTTGATGCATTGACCAAACATACAAATGTAGGTGGCTCCTGAGGCTTTCCTTGGTAAATTACATTATGATGCTTAAGTAAATATTTCTGGACAATTGTGATGCATTTGTCATGCATCCAATAAGCACTTGTTTATATGACCATTTACAGATCCTGAGGATGTACAGATCGTGGAAGGACATGACTGCACTATCGTGAGCAATTTGGAAAAAATAACATCTTCTCAAAACACTGAAACTTTAGGTCAGTATTTTCCCATCATCTTTGTCGGCTTAATGTATTTTTTTATATTACATATTTTATTCAGTTTTGGGAAAGTGTGGATTTTTGTCAAGATTTTTTGTCCAATTTCATGACATGTATTATATTGTCTTTTAACTGATTACAACCTTATTTGCAGGTTTTGTGTTGTAGAATGTGGTCCAGTACAATGCTGATTTAAATGTGCCCTCTACAAGATATTTGTATGACGTTAACTACAACCAAATTTGTCTGCATTTTACCATTACATATTTTAGATGAACTGCTGGTGGAGTTTTTCAACTTCTATGGAAGTTTTTCCTTCAGTAAGCATTCAATAAACATATGGAAGGTAAGTTCTGGATGCATTCTTAATTTCTACATTGACATAAAAACAAGTATTCACCAAGTAATGTCCCACTGAGACAAAATAATCTTAATCTTCAAATTAGACAAAAATAAAACTCCACTGATGTATGGAAAATGTATATAAAGTTACAGATATTGTCAAATATAACTTCAAAACTATTTCACACACTACACCTCTTGCACAGATCCGCCCTGACCAATTAAACACCCACACCCAGAGCAGTATTTTGGCATGATGTAACTCGTATAGACTTTCACAAATGTCACCTTTTCACATACAGTACTGTATTCTTAATCTAGTGTTAATTTACTGCCAAAGTACAATAAAATATTTAAATGTTTGCATGTTTTAGATATGCTCAATATCTACACTTTTTACATATCCGCCTATACCTCATTCCCCAGTGAGTCAGATGTGCGACATTGTATTGTGGTAGCATTTAGCGAACATTTTCTTTCATCTTGAATATGGAATATAATATAATCTAAATGTATAATAAAATATAAATATAAACTTTATCTGGACTGTAAATCTACGCATGCATTTCAGGGCTCCGAGCAGAACAAACCTGAGAGCAGCCCTCTGTATATCGTCAACCCATTTGAGCAACACCTTAACATCAGCAAGAATGTAAACGTGTCACAGCTGGAGCGCTTTGTGCAGCTGGCGCGCAACAGCGTGTGGCAGCTTCAGCATCAGGAAAAGCAAAGCAGCCCAAAGAACAGGCCCTGGGGCCTGACTGCTGTGATGTCCAGCCAGCTGCAGAGTAACAACACAAAGGGACGTGGAAGAATGAAATCAGGAGAGACACTGAGCAAGATCCGATCGCTCCTAGAAAACTCTTTATTGAACAAGGCAGGTGGAAATGTGAGGAAAATGCAGGGTGGATCTGGTAAGAGCATCAAGCAGGGTGGACCAACTAAAACCAATGCCAATATCAAGTGACTACAAGCAATATGGCTCATCATTGTGTGAACTGCAGCGATCGAAAACAATTATAAAGAGCTCAATAGCTGAAAGCATACAACACCTTTAGCACATCAAAGTAACTGTTGAGTTGCGATGTTATTCACTATGAGTTAAAAGAAAATGTCAGGGGGAAGAAACCTAAAAAAGTATTTCTGTTTCGGAAAGACGGTTTGTTTTCATAGTTTTTTGACACAAAAGAGGGCTTATCCTATGGTTTTGTGGTAAATCATTGTTGAAACGTATTTGACAACATTGGGTAACTTATAATTTCGGGTGTGGTTTGGGGAATGTATGTACATTTGAAAGTGAATGTAATTCAATGTTTTACAAAATCACTTTTGACGTGTATGTAATTACATGGCAGATTTTTTTTCATTTATTTGAGTTGTTCCCTTTGTCTCATTGGATTTTGAGAGATCCTTGACTACCATTGCCATCTATATCTCCTGTGCGTGCATCGTTTAGCAACCTTCTAGTCTTGATATCAATGTGTTTATTTTTTAACGCCACTTGCTGAGTTTTGGCATTTTAAATACAGCGCCACATCTGGTGTACCTTGCAAACATAACCTCAGCATTGTACATAATTGAATAATAAAAATGTATTACTATATTTACGTGTGTATTGTATTTAAACATAAAGGGTAATTGTAGGGTGATCTCAAGACTGCATATCACAAGTAATTAAAAAGTTACACTTTGTTCATAGCCATAAATGTGTCATGCATTATGTGAAATTTATTTTCTCATAAATCCCTACATTTATCAAGTCCCGAGCCCTCAAATTACAGTATACATTGTTGAAAACGATGACCATGATGATGGATGGTAATCTTGCACCCTGAAGATGTGAGATGCTGTGTGCAGTCTCCCACTGTGTGATGATGCCGACTGAAGATGATCCTGTTGCTGTTGCTGCTGATTTTCATCCTCGCAGCAGCTTTTGGTGAACCATCGAACAAAGATGGTCACTGCATCTCGCACTTTGAGATGTGCTTCTATGGCTGTCTGGAACACTTCCGATATTAGAAAGCCACTGGAGCTATGCACTTAAATCTAAACTGGAAACTGATTTCTTAGAATTGCTTATTATGTTTAGTTTGTCCTTCCTCTGCACCCCCCCCCCCCCCATGAGCATGGTTGGCTACGTACGTTGCGAAATAATTTTAACATTCTTGTCATTGCTATTACTGCTGTTGCTGTATTTAGTTTATAAAGCAGCCTCGCTGAATCGTGTAGGAGGAAACAATTATAGCAACTTTGCTATAATTTTTAGCAACGACTTCCTCGGCAGCAGAAATAACAGCATTCGTCATCAGCAGAAGCTGATGTATTTTGATCATCACTGGCCATTGAATTGAGTGATACAGCTGAGGGTGAAGGGATTTGGCAGTTTTAAACTATGTTTTGCAGAATTTGCCAATTTAACAACTATTTCGTCGACTCAAAAATCTAATTAGTTTTAACGGCATTTCAAATGAACATTTTACAGTGCCTTTAAAGTAGTTACATTTTTTTTGGGTCCAGGGATGTTGGGAACCAGTCCTAGACCAATCGTTTTTGTGACTGCGTTGGCACAAATAAAAGCTCGCTACATTCGTTGAAAACACGACTGAAAGAAAGCATAGGCGACGTTTCAAACAATGGGTATTTAATAGCACGTGTGAGTTTTTTTCTTCTTGGTTCTTTCGGTAAAGTCACGTAGAAGGGAAGTAATAAAATAATAAAAAATAAAACATAATAAAACAATTCTCACGACGTTTCGGCCACAACGCAAGCAGCCGTCCTCAGGTGAAAACCAGGTCAGCCGCTGTCGCCTCGACAGACCTGGTTTTCACCTGAGGACGGCTACTTGCGTTGTGGCCGAAACGTCGTGAGAATTGTTTTATTTTTATTATTTTATTACTTCCCTTCTACGTGACTTTACCGAAAGAACCAAGAAGATGAATCCCGGCAGTCACGAAAGCTTTAAATCGAAACGTGTGAGTTTGTTCTAGAATATCTTTATATTTCGTACACTCCCATGAAGGCACTCCATAATGCCCCACGACCACCTAGTGCAGCGGTCGGGAACCTTTTTGACTGGGAGAGCCATAAAAGCCAAATATTTCTAAATATATTGCATTGAGAGCCATATAGTATTTTTAACGTATAATAAATTAAATATGTCTTACTTTTAATGCAACTTCTGGTGCTGTGTGGTTTTGCTGATGGCCTTGTAGTAGTCTGGTTCGTACGTGGTGAGGTTGAGCTTCGTGCAGGCGTGACCCGTGAAATTTATCTTCAAAACAAATTTCTGTTTACTTTAAAATGACACACTATTATTAAGCAATATCACAAGTATTTTAAAATCAGTTCCAAAACTGATTTTATTTTTAAATTATTATTTTTTTCAACTCAAAATTCTCTGGGAGCCCATATGCCGTCACCAGAAGAGCCATATATGGCTCGCGAGCCATAGGTTCCCGACCCCTGACCTAGTGGGTGACAGGCATTATTAATTAGTGGAATCGGCCTCAAGTCCCCCCCCTCCCCACGCATCGCATCTCATGAGTTGGACTCGTCCAAAGTTCCCTCCCCACGCGTCGCCTCCACTTGGTTTCGTCGCGAGGTCACGTGGGAGCCCGGGCGACCAATAGGAGGCGCTGCTGTTGCGAATTCTACGCGGCGCGGTCTCGGCGCCGCCATGGCGGACTTGCGTGAAGTCGCCGACCTTCTGTGGGGCTCTGGCGGGGCCAGGGTTGCAGACGCTGTGTTTCGGAGGTGGACGCAAGGTGAGAATTGCTGCGGGGGTTCGCCCGAGGTCGGCTTTGCCAATGCAGCGAAGCCCCGTCCGAGCTTGGCCGCTTGAGGTCTAGTTGACCTCCAGGCATACCGGCTTTCCTGAATAGCCCGGCCGGGTTCTGGACGCGCTGGGTTCCCGTGTAGGCGCCGTTTGTGTCACGGTTGACGCGGCTTTGGTATTTTGGTTTCGGCGACGTTTCGGGCAATGGCCCTTTGTTTACCACGGAGCTAGGGCAGGTGTGTGGGCGTATTGAGCCATTGCAACAATGACTACACTCCCGTTGGGCCCGCTCATCTCTGACTCATTGTGTTTGTGTGGGCGTACGATAGTGATTGGTATCTGCGCGTTTTGTGTGTGAGAGTTGTGCGTGCAAATGAACGTGTTGTGGTTTTGTGTGCGATGTGTGACCGCATTGACTGTGCCCTGGGTGTTATTGCGAACATCTTGAGTGTTGTGTGGGTAGTAGAGGACCCCTTCCGTCTGGAGCAGGATAGGCACCGGCCTAGGCCTCTGGAGTAGAGGAAGTCTGGTGCACTGGTTCCAGCTCTTATACCACGATGGGTGAAGAGTAATTGGGAAAGAAAGTAATGTATAATTTAAACATTTTTATTTTATCAGGTAAGGCCCAGTGAACTATATAGCTCAGTGACCAAGTCACAAATGAAAGCCCAACGAAGTGGCTTATGTGGAAATGTATAGCCAAATACAAAAACGCATGCTTCTAAATGTGGAGGTAAAAACCCGAGGACCACGGGGAGAACATGCAAACTCCAAATATACAGGCATCGGGATCGAACCCAGGACCTGTATGCCTGGCGAGGTAGTTAACATACTGTATCGCCACCGTGGCGCCGAAGACAACAGGGAGATGCTCTTTTAAACAAAAAACATAGGGCGTCTGGGAACGTGACGGTGAGGTGTGGGCAACCTTGGCTCCCACTCCCAGCCTCATGTGGGCTCGCATCCCAATCTGTCAACAGGAGGCCTGGAATGGTGGGAAGTCCCCACCGAAGCTGAACATTCATTGCTGGATGCATGCAAGTCAGATGAGTCAGATGTTTTCAGTGACCTAATCAATGTGTTGGCTGAAATGTCATACAAGGCGCGCCGAGAAGCGTGTAGAGCCCTCATTTGATTTTAAGCAGGATCAGTCCTGTGTAGACATTAAAATGCATATTTCTGTACATTTTATATTATGGTACAGCTCTGAATTCAATTTTCTCTGCCAAAAGCAATTCGCTTATACAACGAAGCGGTGAAAATTTACCAGAATGTAATATTTGCTTTAGAGAATATTTATTATTCCTTCCAGCAACTTATAACATCTGATAGACTAAAAATCCGGTTTGGTTAAGAATATTCAAAGCATCCGTAAGAAGCATGCTTGAGGAGATGATCAAGTAAGCAAGGAACAATTCAGAGCACAATAATGACAGACGACGGTGGTATTGCCCAAATGTAATTGTGTCCGCATGGGGTGGCATCCATGATAAGTTGTCTTGTGGTTGTTGTTGGTTGTTTGACTTGCATCCCACTGAGATTTTTGCACACATCGTTGGTGTACGGTGATTTTTTTCTGCAATATTTTGCTGTCTTTTCTTGGATTTTCTGTTTGCACTTAGTCACATATTCACTTTAAGATGTTTTTTGTACATGTTTTTTTTTGTTTGTTGCGGTTGCACCCGATTCAAGAGCCGAATGGCTCACAGGGCTATGCCTAATAAATTAACTTGAACTTGATATGTGAAGTGTATAAAGTGTTCCACTTTCACTATGATTTTACACCTGCATCATACTATATATGGCAGTCTACAGTGCATTGAATTTATGCAGTACCCCTGAAACTATCCCCTATTCGATACTGATCTCCAAAGATGAAGCAAAAGGTATATTTTAAGTTTAGATTTTATAAAGCCTTAAAGTATAACCAAAGGCTTTCAGACGTATACAGTCGAAGGCTAAACTCCAAAGGGATATCTTGCAAAGAATTTAGCTGATAAATGTCTAATGCCATGTCTTACAAAAAAAGTGGCAGTGTGTTCATGAAATGAAGATATAATGTATTGATTTATAAATAGTAATGGCAATTTTGTTGGTGAAGTGAAGCTATTGGAATGAGAATAGGTGGTTTCCCCTTTTATCTGGCAACAAAACAGGTGTTAAAGTTGTTAAAACACCAAACTGAAACATTTTACAAGGAATCATGTCTGCATTAACCACAATACATTAACCACAATACTTGCATTTTGACCACAAGTATTGTGGTTAATGTAGACATGATTCAGTTTGGTGTTTTAACAACTTAACACCTGTTTTGTTGGCAGATAAAAGGGGGAAAACCTATTCTCATATTTTGGTACTGGCAAAGGAGGTGTAGAAGCTATTGGAGTGTTTCAAATTGTTAATGTAATTTACACATGTAACTGACACAAAGAATGGTAGCATTTTGACGCAGTCACTGAAACACCATTTTTCCACATAAAACGTCAGGGTCTGGCTCGTTTTTCTAGGAAGTATTGAGCGTGATGTAGAAAACGAATGTCCTGATGACCATTATTCTTGAGCATGACCATACATTTCTCCAATTTCTTAATCATGCCTGTCTTATTTTACACCACTCAAGGTTTAGTGGGCATCATCATTCAAGATTCTACACATATTACAAAACCGAGAAACCACAGTTTCTTAAAAATATCATGGAACACTATTAAAGTAAACTGCATTTATTAAGTAAGAATGTTGAAATAAAATTAAAGTGTAGGGGAATTAACTTGTAAAATTGATGGCTATGTATTGCTGTTTGAGAATGGCATAAGCTGGAGGCTATTGTACAGTTATCACAGATGTTGACCTGTAAGTGTAATGACATGTACACTTAATCAGTATTTGCTGTTTAAATTAGGAGTTAGCATCAGTGTAAGTTGTAATCGCCCAACGTGACAGTGTGCCAGTGGTGTCTATTTTTCTTTGACTATTAATAGCCTGACTGAAACACTCAACTGATTATCTTTGGATGGGATGATGTGGTAATTTCCATTGGACTGTGATACATGTTAACCTTTGGTCTCTCGCAAATGTGAAACATTGCAAAATTAAATAATTGTATATCTCTATATTTTTTTTATGAGTTGCTATTCTCTATAATTACAAAGTCAATAAAACACATTGCATTTGAATACACACTTTGAATGAAAATACATGGATATGTTTAAAACAGTATAATTGGGTTTTACTCTTGAAAGTGCACAGAAAATACATTATTACCCTTGTCATGTACCAGTCCACGGCATTAATTACATTTATCCAAAACAGAAACACTGATAGTGATTTATGGTTTGTGGGTTGGACATGTGGGTGTGGGGCAGAAGTTTGTGGTGGGGTTCTCATTGTGGGCATTGTGCTTTTTCTCAACAATTGAAGTGACTTTGTAATGCCTGTGATGTGTTGTAAATTGTGAAGGTTTCGTGTTCAGCGAAGATGAGCCCACTGCATTGGAGCAGTTTGAAGGGGGACCATGTGCGGTCATCGTCCCTGTGCAGGTGAGCTTTGTGCTGCTGCAGTTGTCACACTTGGTTAACAGATGAAAGCCTGTGTGGAACACATTATGGACAAGCCCAATTTGTGGGCAGCATATGGGAAGTCAGCTGGCCAGTGACCCATCTGATTTACTATATCGTATCGATTTTTATGGCACTTGAGTCAAACCATAAAAAATTATTTCAAGATAGGTGCTGCAAATTCCATTTACGAACAGTCCGAATACTTTAGAGATTGGCTGTGTTGCAGAGGTGGCCGGATGATTACTGAGATTCTGGATTTGTGCAGTGAGTTTAAGGTCTCAGCTCAGTCACCAATGACTCAACAAAATAACCATCACATGAAATTTGCTACTGTGCTCAATTTTTTTAAATTCCAGCTCTTAGAATTAAAACATCTGTTTTACTATAATAGAGGTTTTTGGGTTAGATCGCGTAAATATATAAATGTGTAGTTAAAACCCGCCAGCACCCGAAACAGCCAACTAGTAAGGGTTGTCACGTAAACAGAACATTCCAATTCGTCACGAGTACAGCACACCGGTGTGTTGGAGAGCCAAGCCACAACATTTACAAACTGAATACGACATTTCGTCGCCTGATGAAGCTAGTTGTAATTACTGGCGAAACGTCGTACTCAGTTTGTAAATGTTGTGGTTTGGCTCTCCAACACACCGGTGTGCTGTACTAGTGACGAATTGGCCACGTTCTGTTTACGTGACAACCCGTACTAGTTGGCTGTGTCGGGTGGTGGCGGGTTTTAACGACACATTTATATATTTACGTGATCTAACCCAAAAACCTCTCATGGATGATATTGGTTGCAAAAGCTTACGTGTTAATCTGCCATTTGTATTTGGTAAGAAACTGCTCTCCTCTACTGTGTGAACCAGAGGTCACTTGAAGGGATCTCAGAGGTAGCTCTGTAGTATCTTTTTCATAGACCATTTTCTAACATGAACTTTGCACTGCTGTGTGAGAGATCTGAGTGTATACTTTGTCTCATGACTGATGCCGGAAGCACAATCATGATAAAATAAGGGAAACATGTAAAACAAATAAAAATGGCTGTGTGGTAATCTTTGTTTACCTAAATTTGTTTCAAATTGTGCAATAACATGCAGTATTTCTACTTTGTAAAGCACATTTCATCATTCTAACCAAATTCTGCTGCTACCCACTGCTGTTCTTGCTCATTGGAAATCAGAACAATGTTGACATTGCTTGGAAGAGTCTTCAATGTTCGTTTGATTTTTCTATTTTATTTTAAGTCACATGCCATGCGTAGATATCTGTTTTTACATTGAAATATTTAGTATGGAAAAATAGGTTGCAATAAATATTAAAATTTAGTTACACGTTCTCTATGTATTATACATTGCAAAGCATTTTTTCTTTCGGAAACAGAAATATAAAACGCAAATATATGTTTTGTAAGTGCATAAAATTTAAGCAAATATTTTGTCTTTTCACAGGCATTTCTGCTGAAGAATGCACTTTTTGGCAGCGAGAACATTAACTGGAAAGAGTGTTCAGGTACAAAGACGTCGGCATATCCTCTTGTATGCCACATTGTGCGTAGTGTTGCATTGGCAAGCTGTCACCTGGCCCTCATTGCTGATATATTAACCGTTTAGGAGGTTTGATATGGATGATGTGCTGCCAGGAGACCAGAGATTTTGTATATATTCTCCTCCTTGAGGGAGTGATTTCATGATTTATGGATATAAACAGTGCAAGCCAGGTCCTTACAGTTTTTACAGCATGATTTGTTTTAGCAAATGTTTAGTAGTTGTGCCAAAATTAAATTTTGGAAAAATATACAATTTGTTTATTCTTTAACATTTCTCTTAATAGTAAAAAAAATAATACTGAGCAAGATATGTGTAAGTATTCAAAATATTTTATCTGCTTCAATTTGGGATTCGGTGCGTTAACATTGTTCATGGCCAACATTACATTTTATCTGAAACCTCAGCCTAAAACACAATCACTAAAGGGGCAGCGTGACCCATGCAAATACGATTTAAGCGAATATAAAACATGGCCTGATTTTTGTCTTGTTGCATACCATTTTAAATTGGATTGCACAAATCCAGACATGCACCAACTTCCACATCCATGCAAATGCCTCAGAGGCCAAGTTGCTTAAGTTTGTTGCTCAAGGCACGTAGCCGATTGCAGTCTGCTATTATTAGTTATTCCCACTGTTGTACATTTTTGAGGCCCTTACAATGTGTTCTAAATTACATTTTAGTGTGAACTCTGATTGCAAGTGCAAACAGTTGGGCTGTGGATTGAGATCCTGAGAAACCTGGGGGAATGTCTGAGTACAGGTTACCCTCGCTTTGTGCAGGTTTGATTTTTTCTATTCACATATATGCGGCTAACTTCGCTATAAGGTGTCAATTCACTCAAATACGGTCCGGCAGTCGGACGTGGAACAACTGCGTGTTGCAGTATGTTGTACTCGGCAAGCAGCCGTCAAGTGTGGTTTTGCTTTGTGTGCCCCTTTTTTTTAACTCATCTGCAGCATAAAACGATGGAAACCTGTATGGGCTAATGGGATGTGATAGCCAATTCTGTTCGAGTCATATTACTTTTGTCGTTGACATGTGCAGGTTACTTTGACTGGTATATCCGCCCTTTTTAAGCTATTGACTGACGTGTAGCTCTTTCGTCATTCAAATATTTGTTCATTGTGCAATAAAATATTGCCAGAACAGTAACAGGCAATAATTGTAAGTTATATTGCAGGAATCCTATTTAAAGTATTAGTTCATTATGCCTTTGCGATGTGTAACTTTTCTCAGCACTAGCGTATTCATACCTCATTAAACATGCATTTATCTGCACTCATGATTGGAAATTAAACGATTTTCCTGAATCAGTACAGTATGCACAGAAGATTTCCATGATTGGTTCAGAGCATTAAAATAAGCAAATTTTCTAAACGTTTTCGTAACTCATTCAAGAAACAAATATTTTGTAAATATGAAATGAAGGACTATCTGGGAAAAGATGTTCCCCTTGCTTTGTAACTGATAATGCATTTACACTGTATATTGGATTGCATTCCAGTAAAACCTTGGATTGCGAGCATAATTCGTTTCGGAAACGTGTTTGTAATCCAAAGCACTCGTATATCAGTTGTGATCACGTGACGCTCGGCAGACAAAGCGTATACGTACTACTCGTATTGCAAGACCTCACTCATTTATCAAATTAATATTTGTTCAATTTTTTTGCTCGTCTTGCAAAACACTCGCAGACCAAGTTACTCGCAATCCGAGGTTTTACTGTATTGGGAAACACGTTTTAGAAGCTAACAATTATATAACACTCGTGTGGTGGTGGTGGACCGTGCAGAGGATGAGCGGCGACTACTCCTGTGCCACGGACTGTGCGAGATCCTGGAGAAGGCTCAACCTCCACATGCTTCCTCCCTCTGCCTGGTTCGCTGGGCGAAGGGCAAGGAGCAGCTGCCGGGGGAGGATGATGAACAGGATCAGGGAGCACCCAACAGTGCCCCTAGTACACGTGGCCCCAGTTCAGCCGCACACACTGGTGTGTTTTTTTTCCCGGCTACATCTATTGAAACATTGACAAATTACTACCAGGATCACCACTATTATATCCAACATCACTACCATCACTCATACCATCACCATTGTCTTTACCATCACCACACCACCACTATCAATGTCTCCATCCTCATTTGCACCACCATGTCTTCTTCACCATCACCACCTCTTTTGGCCATCAATTCGTGCTCCCACCACTACTATCACCACCACCACCACCAGATAAGCATACCATGTGGTGAATTGTGTTCTGCACACAGTTATAAATGTATCAATGTGTCTTCATTATAATTAGTTGCTACTTTCGGTTTCTTTTATTCTCACACAAGAAAGTTTTTGTCTTGTCCTTTAGGTGGCACTGTAGCATTAAGTATCATAAAACATGGTCAATTGGTTTGTCCTTTTAAAGCACTAACCAATCCAATCTGAAGTGATTGTTGGTGATTGCTTTTAATTAGTCTTGAATCCACTGCTGGATGATGGCTTCCTCACACTGTGTGGGTTTTGAGGGTCATGTCACCATATTTTATACTTGTCAGTGTGGGTTAGTGAGGGCACATGCAAGGATATGGCAGCATAAACAGCCAGTGCAGGAATTAATTTTTTATTAAGGACTCTTTCCTGCCCACCATCTAACATAGCACTGCAATCTGCCTATGACAATCTACTTTACTTCTAAGATATGTCAGAATCGGGCTCTCAATGGGTGATTTGGTCATAGATGTCTTAATATATTCCCACCTAATGCCAAAGAAAGGTCATTGGTTAATGACATGCATAATCTTCTTCTTGGTTCTTTCGGTAAAGTCACGTAGTAGGGAAGTAATAAAATAATAAAAATAAAACATAATAAAACATAATAAAATAATACCTCTGTGATGACCATATGAGTTTTAGACTCTGTCTTATCGACAGACATGTTCTTCACCTGAGGACGGCTGCTTGCGTTGTGGCCGAAACGTCGTGAGAATTATTTTATTATGTTTTATTTTATTATTTTATTACTTCCTTACTACGTGACTTTACCAAAAGAACCAAGAAGATTAATCCCTGCAGTCACGAAAGCTTTAAATCGAGACATGCATAATATTGCACATTTTACTCATTATTGCTCTGTATTAATTCTTAGTTTATTATAGTTGTGCTCAGGTTGCAGTGTGCAAATTTGGTGAATGTTAGCAGTTAGGAATGGGTTAAAAGTGGTGTTAAGCCGGCTGTGAGTTGGCTGCCTTCTCTAGGGATGTGAATCATCACAGCCCATGTGTAGTCTGCCCAACCTCTTACTCAGTGGTGTTACTGCAGCCAAAATACAAGGGCCACATGGAAAGAACATGCAGTTTTAACTTTGTGACAGTTTTTTTCCTATAACGGAAACGTGGCTGTAAGCATTAAGAATGTTGGTAAAAGTAACCATATTTGTAAATCATGTAAAATGCAGTGGGCGATATTCCTGTCTGGAGAAGCTAATGGGTTATTGACCGGCATGTGTTTCTCTTCAATGTTATAAATTCATTTGTATGGCTTTTCTTTTTGGGATCTCGACTTTTCTCTCCATGTAGCTAATGACCTGTTAGTGAAAGTGAAGCTGAAGTCTGATGCATCGTTAACTTTTTGTTTAACAATGATATTCTCATGTTCAGTGTTAGAAGATTTTAAAAGTTTGTCATACTATTAGCATATATGTGACTAGCATAAGTACCCGGCGTTGCCCGGGTGAAAAATATATTTCTTAATAACCTTACATATATACACAGATGGGCTGCTACCCCTGCCCCCCCCCCCCCCCCCCAGCCACGATCTCCTTGGCCGCTGTGCAGTAATATGTACGGCCTATAGTGTGGTGGGGTGTCGAGGCCTAGTACCGTGCAGAGCCTCCGGCCTCGCCTAAATTGCCCACCCGGCTGAGGCTGGGTACCGGGGCCGTTACCCCCCCCCCCCCCCTGCGTTACAAAAATACTGTTTAATCGCTATAATTTTATTATCTACCGACCCTATAATATTAATTGCACACATTGGGGTGGGGGGGGAGTGAAGAGGACGTGAAACTTTGATGAATTTACCTCAGAGTCGCGTGTTAATGCGTGCGCATATTTTTAACGGGAATAAAAAATGGCGTCCATCCCGCAGCGAATGCGTTGCTACCCGTTGCCAGGGGCAACCGCCGTCCAATGAAACTGCGTATGGTCCGGTGACACACAGACAGACAGACAGATTTGCGATTTTATATATATAGATTCCATATAGTACATTGTATATACTTTATGGAATCACATATGTACTGTATGGAATCATGAATCATAATTCCATACAGTACACATGTGATTCCCACTGGAGATCTGTGAAAAAGAGCTTCATCATAAAGATTCTGATTAATTGTAAGATAAAAACTAGATTGCACATTATTTTCAGTCTTTCATTGAAAACAATACCGAAAAATGTAAGTAGTATCTGGTTTCTATGGAAAATTGAGACTGTTTGGGTGTTGAGTGTCTGATGACGTGGGATAGTTTAATATTTTAATATTTGTAATGGTTGCCCGGTGGCCTCGTGGTTCGTGCACTTTACTTTTTGTTCACATTTCATCGGTCAGGATTCATTCGCAACATACTGATGGTGCAGTTCTCAGTGATTATCACTCGTGCTTGTATACTGCTTATTTTATGGACATAGAAGCGCATATCACATAGTTTGGAAGTTGTACCTCTGTGATGACCATATGTGTAAAATAATGTATTATCGTGTCGGTAATGTAGGAGTAGGCAGGCCCTAGGGCTGATCAGTCACTATGAGATCAGGTCATATGCGACACATGTTTAGAATGGGATAGAATAATGATAGGGAAGGAGGGCGCATGTTAAAGAGCTGTTGACATTTACACTAGCCATGATAGGCCAACACAGTGACTTAGCTGGTTTTTGTTTCATAATGTCCATTTGTGGTCGTGCTATTACAGGGTGGTAACATCATCAACTGCCAATGCCCGCAGTGGAAGTGAAAACAGGTTTCAGGAAGACAACAGGGCAAACAGTTACAATTATGGTTAGATGAGTTTAAATAATGTTTATATGTTTAATTGAATTAAGAGCTATGTATACTAATTCGCATTTCTATTTTACAATAAGTACTCTGTAAATGTTATTGAAGATGGCAGTTTGCACAGGGGTCACTCCAAACACATTGAGAGGGATATTTATTGATGCAAGTTGGCACATGCGGCAGCTTGTCAAAAAGAATTCACATTTCCTAATAAAGGCATTGCCTTCCTTATTAAATTCACGGCTTCTGCAAGGCACATTTTCGTTTAATCCTATAAGACTCAAAATATTTAGCAGCTGACGTGTATATTGAAATGGTAAACTAAGGGCAGTTTTGCTATTTTGTTTTCATTTTTAATACTCTAGCTTACTTAAGCAATCACATTTCCTTAACAGATATTGGCAAGCAAACAAATGCGATCAGTTGGTGTATATGATAATGATGCAAATTAAGTTTTTCCATGCTTGGTGAGTTAAAACAATTATGTGTGTCTTGGCAACTGGTTAGGATCTTGCAGACACTATAGTTAACTCGTTGCATCTCCAAGAGATTTGATTGAGGTGGGCTTCCATAGCAAACAATCCTGGTTCCAAGCACATGCATCCATGTGTTCATTTAATGTGTGCGTGTACATCTGGCCAATAATTTTGGAATCGACGCTCTGCTGAATGTTCATAATTTCACACATGCATAGTCACGAGGGAAGACATCTGGATGTGCTTTGTTGGAAGATAATTTAAGTCACAGAACATGCCTTACCAAGGGCATTTTTGTAAACCAACTGTAAGTTGCATTTGCGTCAGCATTTCCAAAAACCGCCAAGTAGAAGTGACTGCGTTGCTCAGACGTCTGAGTGCTTTGCAAGCCACTGGGGTTGAATCCAGGCAGCTGGATGTGATTAAATTGGCTTCCTGGGTGTTGGTGAATTGATGTTCTCAAACGGTTCACTAGTTATTGCACCAAAAGCATTTAAAATGTGTCTTTCATCTTATTTAGCTCAATTTCAGCTCTGAGAATTATTGGACAATCTCGTTGGAGAGCACTTGGCAAAGCTTGCCTCCGCACCTGCAAAGGATAAGGCCACCTGAAGGATTTTGCAGGAGATGTTCTAAAATAATTATTTTCCACAGTCCATTCTCTGACAATTGGGACATGCTGTGAGATAAAATTAATTATTATTCTTATGACTGCTGGTAGCGCGATTTGAATGAATTGGGAGAAAAAAAGTAAAAATTGTTGACCGAACTTGGTAAAATATTTTTAAGTGTTTGTTTTTGGTTCCTGTCGGTGTCAAAATTTACTTTTGCAAGTCGATCTGTAAATCAGTCGCGTCTTATTTTCTCATTGTGGATATTTTTTTTAAAAACCAGATTAAGTCTTGACTTAAAGCTTTCGTGACTGCAGGAATTCATATCCTTGGGTCTTTCGGTAAAGTCACATAGATAGGTTCAAAGAAATAACTAAAATAACAAAAAAAACTACGACGTTTCGAATCGCAACACAAGCGGTCGTCTTCAGGAAAATGGGGGTTAGCTTCCAAGGCAAACTGTTTATAAGGGTTTGAAATGGGCATAGCCCAAATGTCAGCAGCCAATGATAATGTAAGTGGTGGGCAGCCAACCCAATGGTGGTTGGTTTTCCACCAATCATAGGGCTGCCAGGTGAAAATTAGCAGGTTAAAGAGAGATTACCATGTTAATGGAAGATCGCAGAGCCGCAACCAAGGGGGGTGGCGTGCGAAGTGACAGAAAGCACAAGTTTGAAATGGGTGTAAAGCACAACTAACACCGGAAGGTGGTAGGATGGGAACATAGCCAATTATGACTTAAACTGGTTGATAACGTCCTTCCAATGATTACTCAGTTTGTACCCATCTTCTCGGTTGAAATTGTGTCTTTGTCTATATATATATGGATGGCTTCATGAACTAATCTTTGTTGACCCTTTTTATCTGGGAAAGCCTCAGTGAGTCTCATGAGTTTGTTGTAACAAATTGTTATGTCCACAGATGACCCTTCATCGGATGAAATCACCTTTGAGCGATTTCACAACCTTATACAGTAAGTATTCACGAAAGGGGATATGTTATGAAATATTTTTAAACCTAGTCCATGAACATTTTAATACCATAATGCGTTTGCCATTTCCTGTGAGTAATGGTGTCATTCACATAATTGGTTTGACTACGTAACATAAATCATCATAATGTGAGACTTGGACCCGTTCCGATTATAAAATGAACTTACATTGCCGGAATCTTCGTGTCATCAGTGAATGACAGGCTGCTGGTTGACATCTAAAGCTGAGCAGTCTTTGTGCACCATGAAACTGGGTATTTGAATCATCCACTGAATTTTTTAAAATGTCATGGAGGACAATATAAATATTAGTTTTTCTCTCCCTTTGTATGGTACTGAAATAATATCTGCCTTGTCAATTATTTTATCCACAAACCATGACAATAGGACAACATACATTTTGAACATATGTTACATTGCCATTCATATTTGTCTCTTTTGCTTTTAATAACATCCCTCTTCTCGACTCCGACGCTATAGCCACCCTTGGCACCTCTTTCGCCTTGGTGATGGTAAGAGATATAAAGTGGCGTTTCATCCATGCTCGTGTGTGGGGTTTAATTAATTTTAGGGCCTGACCATATGCAGTGTGACCTTTTAGCAAAGTGGCACCTGGTTTACAGATTAAGTGGCCAAGTTAAAGTAGTCTCAAAAGCAATACCCTTGCAATTGCACTGCCGTAAGCTGCAAAAACAAATATGGATTTTATGTACTTACATTAAATAACTAACATTGCAAATAACAAGAGCTGCTTAATAAAGAAAGATACATGATGTCTTAGCTACTTGGTCTTCATACTTATCTACTGATATGCATGCTTAGCTTTTGAACTCGATCACTCATTAACCAAATGGTAGGTTAGCTTCTGTTCTGTGGCCCTGCCGATAACATGAAGAGGCATACCGCTTGTATACCTTGCAACATTGCTTAAAGATGAGTATCTTTTTAAATGCTACTTCAAAGGCTTTTTGAGATTTTGAGTCATGCATGAGGCTTTCCTCTGTCTGCGTTGGGTTAGTTGAGTGTAGGTCCTGACTTTGAATATCTGTTTTTGTGTGTCCCTGTTTCTGTGCAGCAGGGAATGTGTTGCTAATCCAAGTGAGTTGCGAGCTGCCGTCACAGAGCTGGTCCCTGACCTCATGGGTAACTTTGGTGTCCTACTTTTCCTCTACTCGCTCATTCTCACCAAGGTAAGTTTGACTTTGTACATATTGCCTTTATAGCTAAATGTGGAACATTGCTTCGTAGTACGTATGTATGCCACTTGCGATTGTTTAAACTGCTGCCATTAGGAGCAAGACAATGTGATATGTTTTAATGACTTAAATTTTAAATAGTTTTTACATTTGATACATAAGTAATCTGAGTCACTGGAGGCACGAGATGCAATGTGGAACCTGTGCGAGTTTGAATGAGGACCCTTCTGTGTCTACTAATGTGTTATGTATTTTAAAGAGCAGGCCGTTATATTTACTTTTTCATTTGTTTTGGTAACAGGGAATAGAGAATATCAAGAATGAGACCGAAGATCCAAACATACCTCTGATTGACCCTACTTATGGCCATGGCAGGTGAGCATGGAATATATTGGGGCAATGGTAATCCTCATTATTCTTCACCATAGTCAGTTTATTGAGATGGAATATTTGTATGTTTATTTTCTTTGAGGAAATTTGTAACCATATATATCTCATAAAATGCATGTCATGAATATAACTTTTTGTATTGAGTGTTTAAATATGATTGATGTTTGTGATCTTTTCTGAAACATTAGCTGTGTGACTTTCTTTCCCAGCCAGAGTCTAATAAACTTGTTACTGACTGGTCAGGCCGTGTCCAACGTCTGGGACGGAGAGAAGGAATGCTCTGGCATGAGTGAGTACCCAATAGGCAGTTGCTCTGTTTTCACTGTCACAAACATCCCTGTCCAGCGTTCATGGGCAGTAGGTGATTCCAGATGAGTTGGTGTCATTCTGTGAGCACTTTATATTGCTGAAGGAAAGTAATTTCACCTTTTACCAGGGGTAAACATGAAGCCACTTTGTGGTTTGACATTTAGTTGAAAGGATTTTCGGCCACTGACGACAGACTGTTGATGCTTTTTGGCCACTCAAATGCTAAGCGATGGTACCTTTGGGTCATATGAAATGTGTGTAAAACCTGCTCACAGCCTTTTGAAATATTAACTTTTTTTTTGGTAGTTTATATCACACCTCTTCTGTTGTATTACATACTTTTCTGATATCATGATGCAACATTAACTGTTTGGAAATATGAAGCAATACAAAGCTATACAGCTTGATTTAAAGTTATTTATTAATTGGGATGCCACCTTGATGTAATGATTAGCCCATTGGATTTGCATTCCAGAAATCAGGAGTTTGGTCTCCTGGCATGGCAGTGGAAGCAATGGGAGAGTTTATTAAATCCCATGCCTCTCCACCCCGCAGTATACATGGGTACACCACAGTTAGTCAATTGGCACATCTTCTATGATGTCTGGCCAGTGTAGAAAGAGAAGACCAAATATCCTCTCAGGTCTCTCTCTACAGCTCCTATTTGTGGAGGCCCTTTTGCCAACAGTCTACTGAGCAAAACATTGTAGGGCTGTGCTTTTGCCTTTTATCTCGTGTATACATTTTTGTAAAAAAACCTTAATTACGGCTGTCGTGGAGCATTCTGGGTAATAAACCAAACTGTTGCTGTGCATCTCCAAATAAATTAAAAGTATTCCAGGCTGTTGGCTTTCTGACTTTTTACGCACCATAACTTTGCTTGCTTTTGCCCTTCATCAGCATAGTGGGGCGATATTGGTCATTTACCAGTTATACAAAGTACCCTTAGTCTAGACTATGGACCATCAGAGTTTGAATGTTTGCCTGTGCTGAGATTTTCTAAATTGGCTTAATTTAAGTTAAGTGCTTGGATATGATTTGTTCTTTGTAAAAGACTATATTTTATGCCTGGTGTCTTAACGGAAACTTTCTTTCGTACTACTTTGCAGGACTCTTTGGAATGCGTGAGCAAGCCACCATTGGCTTTCTCACACTCATGGAATCATTCCGCCTTTGCCAGGTAGGTTGTGTATATGTTGAACTTCTTTCGCACCGTACGTAGCCAACCGTGGTAAGGCAGGTTGCCGCTGCACGGACGCCATTGCTGTTGTAATCTTCCCTGCCAATAAAGCCTTTGCTCATGAACGACTGTTAACCGAACGAAAGCATATCTTTGTCCACAAGTATGACTTGAACAAAAAATATATTATCCTTCCATGCATGATTATTAGCACAACCTTTTATTTAGTCACGCATGCAAGCACACTGTCACATTTCTTTAAACTGCATATTTAACCACATTTCCCAGATGTGGAAATGTGTGTTCTTGTTCACATTTATTGCATTTTAAAGTTTCTTATATACTAATTGTACTCATCTGTCGTTTTATATCTAATTTAAGATCGTTGGTAAGTGTTTACATAATATTGAAATAATTAGTGAATATGTAGAAGTTGTGTTTATATGAGTGTGCAGAACCCAGTTTTTAACACTTGGTTAGGTGATTAAATTTAGTCAAGAGAAACATAACATCATAACATGTTTTGATTTAAAGCTTTCGTGACTGCAGGGATTCATATTCTTGGTTCTTTTGGTAAAGTCACGTAGAAGGGAAATAACCAAGAATATTTAACATGTGTTAAGAGTTGGCAATAAGTTAGCACTTGCAAATCAACACTTGTCATGTAATTTCTCAACTGTTCAGCATTGTGTGCTGAATATGTGGCTTAAATGCACATTTTCTATTTAATTATACATATTGAATGTTCATTTAAAATAACTGTAACAATATATAATTTTCTTTACAACTACTTGAATGTCACCGGTTCATTTTAAGGAATATCTACAAATCTTCCCAATCCATGTTGGTTTTGTGCTGGTCGTGAAGTAAAAACCTTATTTGTGCCAGGTTGGGAGCTTTCTTAAGTCACCTCAAGTCCCCATTTGGGTGTTGGGAAGTGAGACTCACTTGACCATCTTCTTCACAAAGGTAAAAAAAATATCAGTTTATATGGCACTTGGCATTATTACTACCGCCAACACACAACACTGCTTTTGATTAACAGTTTTTTTACAATATAGTTTGATGATTGACAGGATGGGTGTGGTCAGGAAAACGTTATTTGAAACAGGCCTGCTTATATAGTTGGTTTCCCTCTACATTGTCGAATATTCAACTCTCTGATATGTGCACAATTTATATACCTGATGATAATAGACTATTAAGGCAAATGCTAATGCTTTTAACCAACAATTGGTTCCTTTTCTTTGATATCCATGGTTAGTATATCTAGCCCAATAACTTTCCCTTTTTTCATACTGTTAAGGGCAGTGGTTACTTGTTCAAAAACACTGACTTCAGCCCAGCATCACAGAAAGTACTACTAACATGGCTACAGTTGCCCTTGACTCTTGAAATAATAATTCCTTTAGCAATTATCTGTTCCATTCATACTAGAATTAGAGTTAACTACTGTGGTAACTGCTATTATACGATGAAAATTACTATTGTTTGATAGGATTAGTTACACAAAACTACGATATTTTCTAAGACTAATTATCTTACCTATAAAAGTCACTTTTGTCTGTCTGTCTGTCTGTGTGTCTGTCTGCGCGTGTACCTTGTAACGCTTTTAACTGACAAACTGTGGGGTTTACATATAAAAAACTACCCAGATCCCACGCGAAGCCCTGGGACGAAAAAGCGCTATTCGTATTTCCCATCCGTGAACTTTAAAGTAGTTAAATAAACTATTTATTGTTTTATTACTATGAGCAGCGCCAAAGCATGCATCTGCGCATGCGCGAAAACGCTGACTCGTGGTCGTTGCTCTTAGCAACGCACACGCGATCGGTGGGGACGGGGAGAATAATTCTTTATTTGTGTTCAAAATAAAAAAATGCTGTCTCAAATATTGGAAAAAGAAGTCACCCCCTGTGAGTGGCTGGCTGAGGTGCCATCTGTTGAGGAAATACTAAAGGCGACCAGGAAAGGCACCGGGCAGAGATGATCTCCTAAGCGAAATGCTGAGGGAGGGTGGCGTTTGTGCACAGCCTGCCCTATATGACATCATAACAGTCTGGACCACTGGATGGGTTCCGCAGGATTGGAAGGGTGCCCTGGTGGTCCCCCTGTAACAACTACAGGGTCATCTCCCTTCTCAGTGTGCCGGGAAAGGTCCTGGCAAGGATTATTCAATATTGCCTTGCCAGGCACGCTGAGGAGAGGTTTGCGGTTTCAGGAAAAGGCGGTCCTGCACAGATGCCATATTTTCTGTCCGTCTGCTCCAGCAGAGGTGTAGGGAATTCCAACAAGACCTACATCTCTGCTTTATTGACCTGGTCAAGGCCTATGATACCATCAGTAGGCCTGGGCTCTGGGTTGTTCTTCGTGCTTTCGGAGTTCCTGACCCTCTGCTCACGATCATTAAGGACCTTCATGATGGTGAGCGGGCCCAGGTAAAACTACGTGGCCAGGAGTCAGAGCCATTCTCTGTTCACCTTGGGGTGTGACAGGGATGTCCTCTGGCTCCCACATTATTTAACATCTGTTTCGACCACGTAGTTCGTGAAGCCTTCGATGACTGTACCGGAGGAATTTCCATCTGGTACAGATGCAATGGGAGGCTGATCGATGCCCGGGTGCGGTCAAGGGATGGCTCCCTATTGGTCAACCACGTTCTGTATGCCGATGATTTGGTAATTGCTGCTCCCTCAGAGGAGGAGTTGGAGGCGCTGCTGCTCAACCTGGAGCGTGTCACTAAGAGGTGGGGCCTTACCATCAGTCCCACCAAAACTAAGCACCTGCCTGGGTATTTTGTACCATCGGACACTCCACCCCCACAACTCCCAATTGGTGATAGGGCAGTTGTGGAGAAAGTGGAGAGTTTCCCATACCTGGGCAGTGTGCTCATGACTGGCTCCGGTTTGACAGCAGAGGTCTCCGAATCAGTCGAGCGGCATTATTTTTTCATCAGTTGCGTAACGCTGTGTGGAAGCTATCTGCTGCTCCGCACAAAGCTTCAGGTCTTCTCGGCCACAGTCATTCCCTCACTTCTTTACGCTTGCGAAACATGGACCCCCCTAATGGAACATCTTCGCCGGTTAGAAACATTTAGGCTGGCCTGCCTACGATCCATCCTGGATTTAACCAGGCTGGATTGTGTGAGGAGCTCATAAATCCTTGAAAGATCTGCACAAAGTCCCATCGGTGAGCTCCTCTGGCAGGCAAGGCTGTGTTGGCTGGGTCATTTAGCCCGCAGACCAGTCACCGCATGCCTAAACAGCTTTTGTTCGGCTGGATAGAAGGGGCTAAATGGGCGCGGCACAGTCTAGAGCAGAGATGGAGTGATGTGGTACAGGAGGATGTGGATCTGAGTGGACTAATCGATAACTGGTACCAAGCGGTGTCACGATCGGCCTCTGTGGAGGAGGCTCGTGAAGGACGCTACTGGGCAGTTGGAGGCAGTTGCCCTCCAACAACAACAGAGGACAGAGGAGCGACGCTCACAACAACTAGCGGAGCACCGGGTGGCTAAAGCACAGCAAGTTGTCACAGTAGGGAGCACAGGTGGTGCATCAGCTAGTCATCTCAGTCAGTCGATCCGTGGTACCTGGGTCTGCCCAGACACTTCATGTGGCCTCAACGTGCACATCGCCTGGCACAAGCGTCGTGGTGATGTCACTGCCGCTTAGTGGCGAATGGCGGTTGTTGTTGACTCTTATTCATGAAAAATGTGGTGGATAGTATGTCATTCCACAAAGACTTATACAAAAAGTCAGGGCTAATTGTGAATAATAGAAAGAATAGGGCCATGGCTAATAGGAGTTTTTGCGGACTCTCCAGCTGCCGTGGATAATAGGGTCATGGCTCAGAGTTCTGCAATAGTTGAATCGATAGCTTAACACCACATTTTCAGCAAAACTATGACAAGTAAAATAAAAGAGGAATGACAGTAGTTTTATCATGAATATAGCTGCCACTGCATTCTTATCACTGTTGTAATGCACAGGTTTTAGATTCAATGTGCCTAGCACCATCTGAACCTGCGGTTTGTGTGACCACAAGGGCAAGTACTGATGCTACTATGTACGTTTTGTTGTTGGCCTTGGTTGGGTAGGCTATGCTGCGAAACATCTGTATTTGACTCCAGTATGGAAATTGGATTAAATACATTTTAGCAGAGCATTGGCCGGTGGTGAATACTGTCTACTGGGCACAATCCATTACTGATCAGCCTGTACCTTCCTTTGTCACGTTTTTTTTTTATCTCTTTTTGCGCCAAAGAATTTAGTTGTTTAGCAAAGCACTAATCCAGAGAAGCAGCTGGTTATTTTTTGGGGTCAGACCATATCATTTGGTCGGGAGCTCACTGCATAGCTTCACAAATATATAAATAGCCTTTTGCCCGTCCAAGGACGGGTGTATTTCAGTAAATCTGAAACTTGCAAGCGAAAAGCAGACCGTGACGTGACATTAATTGCATCAATTGGTGTGCAATTTGTAAGGGTGCGGTGACACAGACCTATTTTATTTTAAGGTTATAATCCCTTGTTCATCATGACGTCCTTTATACTTTGATGTCTCAATAGCGTTACGGAGATCGCGTGACGTGAGGGTTCTGCCTTTGTAGTGAGGGTTGTAAGTTGACGCCGAGGAAGGGGGGGGGGAGGAGTCGCCTCGGCCCCCCATGTGGAGTGACATCAGCCGCTAATTATTATGAATGGGGATGGGGGGGTGTCCATTTGGAGGACGTCACTTGCATGTGAATATTAATGAGGGGGGCTGGTCGATGTGGAGTGACGTCACGAGCGTTAAGGCCAGACATTCCTGGGTGATTATAGTAGGTATGCAGCAAGTACGTCAGCAAGTGCAAACCGGTAGGGGGCAGAGTTTGAGCAACAGAAAGTCAGTGAAATTGTTGACATTGTCAACGTTCATGGCAGAATCTGTAGGCGGTGTTATGTTTAAGACGTTTGCATACCTCTCCTTTTGTTGAATGCACCATCACTGTAAACAATCTTAGTGTAGTTTGTTTATAAAGGTTAGGATTTTTACAGAGCAGCTTTTTCAGGCTTATTGCCACAAATCCAAACTAACCTTGTGATTATTTAAGAAATGTAGTGTCAATTTTGCTTAAAATATAATGCAAAATATATTAACATTGGTTATATTTTTCATTGGTTGAAAGGTCTCTCTTGTAAAAGCATGGTCTTAGTGTGTTCTCTCACCTGATACAATAAAGGGAACTAACTGATGGATTGGTTAGGTGACATGAGAACGTCACGTACATAGGCCCATGAGTACGGATGAACACCTAACAGTCGTTTGACTTTAGCTAACTTAAGATGACACAGAAAGACAAAAATAACAGATTGGAGATCATGTATTTCCCCCCCCCACCCCTCAATGTAGGTGCTTAGTTTTCCTAAACCGTGCAATGTTTCGGCGAGCTGTGAAAGTGGACCTTCCGTGCGTGGGGGCCCGTTTATTGTTGCAAGGAGTGCACGTACACGTGGCTCTAGGTGTTCTGTCAGCCCAGTACAAGGGTGCCTTTTGTATCACTATTAGAGGAGTGAGCAGAATATGGCTGGCCTGCCTCCACCCGTATACATACTGAAGAACCACCTGCTTTTGATTTTGCATGTTGTACCAGGGGGTTTTCTAATTGTATGCGGCAGTTGCTGCATTAATGGTGTTACAGAGAACAGAAATGGTGTTAAGTTTGTCGAAGCAGTTGTAGGTTGCACATGTTCCACATTGACCCCTTTCAAAGGTGCGAAACAAAATCTTTTTTATTGTGCCAAATGCATTTTTAAATGCAACATTATGATACTTGGAGGGCTACTGAGTAAAAAATGGTCTCTTACATTTTTCAGTTATTTCATGACTGGTGATATACTTTTTAACGGCCGGCTGCAGTTTCAGGAATATATATGGAACCTCGTTAAATTGAGAAGTTTTTGGTCTTTTGTATTTTGCGGTTGTGC